ACCAAAGAATAACATGGAAACCTAACATTTTAGATCGAGAAAAGTTGCAAAGCACAGTACCCAGGGTTTTGTAAGGAGATTTGGATTTGTTCCAATCGTACAAATAAGTAGCCAAGCTCCTCCTCCGACTGACGCCTTTCACTAAACTCTCTCGGGACAAGTATAACATCAACTCCCTATTGAAAGAAGATGTTTTCTCAAGAAGATGCACTTAACAGGGCAATCACAAAACCAAAATAAATCATTCAAATAATGCACAATTATGTATAACCCAACTAACCTTCAACAACTTACCAATTTCATGTAAATTTCAACTCAATTTTACCTAAAATATTCTCAATTTCAAAAAAATAAATAAATAGATTGAACTTCATCAAAATTGACAATAAATTTAAATGGCATAAAATTAAAGAAAAACCTTATTTGGGAGGATGTTGAGACTGTAGCTCGGAAAATGTGGGGAGGCATGGCGCAGCGAGGAGGTGGATGGCAGCGCGAGGTGAAGGATGGCGGTGCGACGCGAGGCAACGAATGGAAGGGCAGTGTAGCAACTGGTAGCTTCAAGATGTAGAATATGCAGCGACGATCGAGTTGTTTCAGGAGGCGGAGGCGAAAGGTCACGTGATGGACGACGCCTAGAGACGAGCAGCGAGGAGGCGAGGCGGCAATCAGCGTAGACCAAAATCGGCGTAAGCGGCTGCAACGAAAAAAACTTGGGTTGTTTGTGGTAGGCTATAATCCGAAAAGAGGATAAGGTTTTTGTTAAGTAAACTTTTGCTAGGGAATTTATCAATTTGTAGCAGATTTGCGACGGATACTTGTGCTCCGTAGCAAATATTAAGTGGGTTTTCAAATTTGAGATTTCCATCGCAGAGTCATAGCAGATCTGCGACAGACTAATGTCCGTAGCAAATTGTCGTTGCAGATCTAGCTTATTCTTGTAGTGTCAGATCAGACTAGATCCAATCAGATCAGATCAGATCCAACCAGATCAGATCACATCAGATCCCATCAAGAACTATTATTATTATTATTATTATTATTATTATTCTTCTTCTTCTTCTTCTTAAAAATGAAAAAGAATAAACTTTAAAAACAAGTTAAATAGAAAACTGAGAAAGTAATCCTTAATTATTAGACGTCGTAAAAATTATTTTTAAAATACATTGACAATGTCAATCTAATTCTACTTTTAAAATACATTTTTATTGCTACTTGTAATTTGAGTTTCTAAAGTTTTGACCTTTTATAAGGATGAGATATTTTAATAAAAATACAATCTCTTCTATATTATGATTATTTAAATTTAATTACTTTTTAATATTTATATAAATTAAATATTTATTCTAATGTATATATGAAGTAATTATTAAAATATTAAATTAATATTCTAATTTCACAAAAAATAATCATAAAATAAAAAATATTATTACACTATAATTTGAATGATTATTCTAATATATGAATTAAGTAATTTTTTTATTAAAAAAATCATAAAATAAAAATATTGATTATATTATAATATGAATTATCATTACAATTTTCAAACGTTATTATAAAGTCAAATCAAATTATTGATTTGAATTTTAAATCAAATCATAATTAGTTAGATCAGATCAGATCCAATCAGATCAGACCAGATCCAATCAAATCAGATCCAATCAGATCTAATCAGATCAGATCAAATCCAATTAGATCAGATCAGATCCAATCGCATCAGATCAGATCCAATTAGATCAGATCAGACCAGATCAAAACTACAAAAAATCAGATTAGATAAGAAAAAATAAGTTGAACGGAACGGAGCCTAACTCGGTTACTATAATAAGGATAAGTAGTAACTTTAAGAAAAGCGTGAAAATTCATATTACTAGCTAGAAGTGATATCTGTATTTGTCATTTTCACTCTTATTTCCTTCCAAAAATATCTTCCCGTTCTAACAATTTTTTGAATAAAATATATTAAAAATTAAATATTGATATTAATTATCTAAGTATTAGTTATACATCGTACGTAGATCCTAAAAATTTAAATCATAAATTTAATCTGAGTGGAGGGATTGGAATAAATTATGGAGTTATAATAATAATAACTTTAATAATAATAATAATAATAATAATAATAAAAGTAGTAGTAGTAGTAGTTGTTGTTGTTGTAGTAAAAGTAATAATGATGATGATGATGATGATGATGATGATGATAATAATAATAATAATAGTAATAATAATAATAATAATAATAATAATAATAATAATAATAATAATAATAATAATAATAATACGCCGTAACGAGTACTCCCTCTCTAAAAACGAGCAAACCAAAAAAGTAGTTGTGATCATTTGTTTTACCCACCCGTATATAAAAAGGAAATTTGAAGGTTATTTTACAATGGGTAAATGGAGTTAAAAATAACAACACGGTACAGTTGTGTTTTTACCGCGGTTGCAGTAAAGGCGGCGGTGGCGGTGGTGCTGCTGAGCTGTTCTTGGGTGGTTCACGGCGGAGACACTGTTCACTATGGTCAAAACACTCCTCGGAGGCCTGGCTGTGACAACAACTTTGTTCTGGTAACATTTTCCTTTTCCTTTTTTTTAAAAAAAAATATGTAGCATTTCCCGTGCCCATTTAATTTGGTGTTCATGCTGTCCGAACACAAACCCTATTTTTTTTCTTTAAAAATAAAAAAAATTCATATTTTTCTCATTCTTAAAAAGATGGAACGCCCACCCAGAAATGTACTTAGACTATTTACATTATATTTCAGCGTGACGGATCGGAGTAGTGAGTGGATAAACCATGATTGTATAATCTTTATCTGATCGTTGAAAAACAGTGAGTGGGTAAATGAAGACATAGTTTTATGAAATAATTGCAATAAATAGTACTAAAACTTAAGTCATTTCCTCAAATAGCATTTAAACTGTTTTATTCCTTAAATAGCATTTAATAATGTCCATAATGTCTAGTGATGGTGAATATTTTCTTGAATAATGACTAATGCATAATGACTAAAAGTGCTACATTGAGAAAAAAAATACATGTGATGCTATTTAGGGAAAGTTATTATGTTTTAGTGCTATTTAAGTAAATTCCTCTAATTTTATTCTAGTTCTCACACTGCGAGAACTCAACAGCGATCGAGAGCTACGATGTATGCCCTTGTCTCCATGCAACTTCAATTCTTATGATCATTCTCTGCGCGCGCACAAACAGACACACACATAATAAAACGTTCACGCTTCACCTGGCATGGACGGCTTGGAGGGGTGCACTGTGCAAGGTGTCCACCCGCACAGGGTCTCATATAACTAAATGTTCATTATAATTCTAATTGCTTAATATTCAAATTGTTAAAAAATGATTATTAATTGCATAGAATCAATCTTATTTTTTCACATTTTCGGGCCGACCTGAAACAATATTTATCAAATAATTTCTTTGCATTCACATAGTAATTTCTTTGCATTGTGAAGGTAAAAGTTGCAGTGTGGATAGAAGGCAATGAAGAAATGGAATTTGTTGGAGTGGGTGCAAGATTTGGGCGTAGCATGGAGTCTAAAGAGAAACGCGCTAACCAAACACGCCTTAAAGTTGCTAATCCAATCGACTCTTGTAACAACACGCCGACGATTAAGGTTCTTTCTTCTCTCTCTCATAATTATGGTGTTTTAAGACTTTAATTTGTGCCCAAAAAAGTCATCATGATTACTGTTCCTGTCTTCTTTTTTTTTTGACATTTTGAAATCTCTATTACAATAATTTCGTTATTATCTCAATTCATATGTTGATATATATAAAATAAAATTGTAATATTTCAAGAAGTAAAAATGTTGATAATTTGTTAGCATAGCTAGGGTGTTTAATTTCACCCTAAAACTAATTGGTAATAGGAGAAGAGACCACTAGACTTATATGTTGGACTTCTTTTTGCCTCTTATTTTTCTTTTCTGTTTGTCTCAAAATAAATACGGAGTATTTCAATTTAAAAAAAAACAAGTATTGTCTGGTTCGCATATTTAATTTTTTGTCTTTCTTCTGCATAAATTCCAATTAGAAATTTCATTATTCTAAAACTCATTGAAAGTTATAGCATGAAGTCTAATTTGGGACAAAAGAAGTATACAAAAAGACAAAAAAAATCATCCTTTATTTTAATTTATTTTATTTTTTTCATTTATTTTTTGTAAATGAGCTCTACATGTTATTTAAGAAAATATTGTTGCATAAAAATAACAGCTGGGTGGTGAAGCAATATTGGCGCATAGAGGGAATTGCAGTTTTGCTACCAAAGCAAATGTTGCAGAGGCAGCTGGTGCCTCAGCTATCCTCATCATAAACAACCAAACAGGTCTTTATATATTCTTATCAGCTTTAATACACCATTACACCCTCCATATCTTCAATGTTCACATGGTCAGACTTTAATCATTTTCATTACGTATTTTCGTTAGTTATTTGATAAAATAGTATAGTCATGTCACCTCTTGTGTTGTGAGTAGAACCTTTGACGTAGTTTTGAAATGTATAATTTTTATTTTTTAATTTTACACCTATAATCAAATTAAGTTGAAATGAAAATAACTTCGGTCAAACATCGTAAATCGAACTGAGAAGATCATTTTAGGACGGAGGGAGTACCTAAAATGATTATGTCGTGATTTCATACCCCCAATGTTCACGCCTAATTCCTAGACCTTTTCACAAAAGTTGTTAGGCTTAGAAGTTATTGTGAAAAAAGACTCGTTCCACCTAAACTAATGTGCCTAATGCTAATCCTAATTCTAATTCTAATACTACTCCTACTCCTAATCTTAATCATAATCCTTATGATATCCATTAATTTGGTGACAAAAGAATCCTCCCTAATTTAATTGTCTTTCTTGGAGATAGAAGTGGATTATTCATTTTAGCTTATGGTTGCAGAACTGATGAAGATGATATGTGGGGAAAATGAGAGTGATCTGAATATTGGCATACCTGCAGTCATGCTCCCCCAAGATGTTGGCAAAATTTTGATACAAAATGTAATGAATAACTCATTAGGTAAAAACCCTAATATCCATATTAATTAATTGTTTGCATAAACCCCTAATCCCCAAATTAATCTTACTTGACGCATGGCATCTGATTGTTTGCATAAATTTAGGGTTGGCCATTTCATTTTTTATTGCAAAAATTCTGACTAGAACTAAAACATGTCAAAATATAATGTCAAAAAACACGACATATATATAAAATGTCAAATTGCAAACATTTCACATTGTCATATAGGCAATGTTATTTTGGCAGAACACTAAATTTCACGCTGCGTACGAAAATTTTGTTCAAGCTTGTTATAGTTATGCCGGCTAAATATGAATGAGCGAACCCTTTAGAAATTATTACAACAGACAATAACTAATACTGAATTACTGAGGGATCGTTCCGATAAATAATGACGCCGCTAATAATATATCTGTGTATATAAGTATGGGTGCAGCTATATTCTCCAAAACGGCCACCATTTGATGTAGCCGAAGTGTTATTATGGCTGATGGCGGTTTCGACCATTTCTTGTGCGTCTTATTGGTCGGCACGGAGTGCCAGGGAAGCGGCCATTGCTCACGATAAATTCCTAAAGGTAGTGTTTAGCATTTCGTTTCAATTCTTGCATATGTTTAAATTCCAAAATTTGAAATTCAAGCAAGGGAAGACATAAAATTTTGCAATTGGCCTTTAAGATTTTTCAGAAATAGAATTTGAGCAAAATCCGAATTTGAAATCCAAATTTGAGTTTCCAAACATGCTCAAAAGTAATAGTTCACCTCATTTCCATTTGCCATACTTTTTGAATTCTTGTATCAATTATTGTATTAATTACAAATTAAATAGGAAAAGTTTTATATGATTGTTGTGGTATATTAGTGTTAGAATATAAAATGTTTTTTACGTCTACTACCACGAGCTTAAGCTTTTTATTAAGTTGATTTTCTCGACGTGGTATCAAAGTCTAGTCTTACTGATCTAGAAGTAACTAGTTCGAGTATTACCGTCGCCTTGTTTTAAAAAATTGTTTTTACGTGTAAGGTTTGAGGAAAAACGTATCTCGCGTGCATGCGCAAGTTTGATTATTGAACTTTCGGTCGAGTTAATTTCTCGACAAGTAGTACCTAGCTTATAATAACTTGAAGTATGTAAATTGCAGGATGATGACAATAAGTATGAATGCCACGAGGAGGAAGAGGGGACACAATGTAGTACCGGTGTGTTGGAAATCAACGTAGTCTCTGCAATCCTTTTTGTTCTTCTTGCCTCTTTCTTCCTTGTTACTCTTTACACGCTAAGGTCGTTTTGGTTTATTGAGGTTTTGGTGGTTCTCTTATGCATCGGTGGCGCCGAGGTATAGTAATAGTTTTTTTTTTCCTTCTTTAAATTGGTTTTGCGTTGGAATCTCATTATTTTATACAGAATAATGTGGTGATTTTGTGAAGCAAACAACCCCTTAATTAGTATTTCTGCATATTCAATGTTTGATTCTATAATTCATTCTATTTGCATGCAGGGTCTGCAAACCTGTTTGGTCACATTGCTTTCATGGTATCTTAACTTATTTTTTTAATGCATGTCTTACTCCCTCACTTTCCAAAATTTTCTTCAACTTTTGGTTTACTGTGTATGACTGAAATTATTTTCAGTTCAATATAAATATTACGGAGTATAAAGTTTTTTGGTTTAGTAAATGATCAATAAAAATAGACGAAGGGAGTACCAAAGATGTGACTGTTTTGGTTTAGTAAATGATCAATAAAAATATCTAGAAAGAAACAAAATACAATATGAGCATAGTAATTGTGAAGATTATTTTGGGACAGATGGGATATTATTTCAAAAGTAAAGCAAAAATAAAATATTTCCAAAATTACCCTACAATTGCTAACAACGATTTGATATAGTTTCAGACGCTTTGAAAATGCCGCCGAGACATTTGTGAAATTACCTCTCCTTGGTGCTGCAATGTCACATCTGACGCTGGCGGTGGCTCCCTTTTGCATCGCGTTTGCCACCACGTGGGGTATTTTCCGGCACGTCTCCTTCGCATGGATAGGTCAAGATATACTTGTGAGTCTGGTTATTATGGTTTATCTTAAGTGAAATTTGCACTAAATAGGACTAAAACATAAGTCATTTTCTAATGTGGTATTTAAAACTTTTTTATTGCCTAAATAAGACTTAATAATGTCTAGTTGAATATATTATGACTAATTGATATTTGATAATGACCAAAAGTCCTAAATTGGGAAATAAAAATCTATATGATCCTATATTGAGAAAGTCATTATGTTATAGTACTACTTGGGTAAATTTTTCTTACTTTAATTTCATGATTTTGTCAAAGGTAAGGTTTGTGACATGCAAGCTATTATGGTACTATCGAATTATTACTTGGTTTTGTCACAGGGCATTGCATTGATCATCACAGTTCTCCAGATTGTTAGGGTGCCTAATCTCAAGGTGAAAAAACATCACATAATTTTTACTTTTTCTTCTTTCATTCTATAAGCATTTCATATGATTTTAATGTATATTTCATGTTACATATACCATATATAGTACGTAGTTTATGAAACTACGTAGTACTCCCTCCGTCCCAAAAAGAACTTCTTATTTTCTACTTGATACCATAAAAAAAGACTCATCTTTCATTTTATGAAAAACTTTTATTTGTTCACAATCTTTCTCCCTCCTCTACATTACTTTCAACTATACATTTTTACTTTTCTTAAACTTCGTATCAAGTAAATCTGTGAGCTTTTTTTGGGATTTGTTGATCTAAATATCTATAGTTTGAATTTGATGTGAAGTCCTTTTATATTTATTCCATTCGTCCCTTAAAACACTCCAACTTTCACTTCTTATCCGTCCCATAAAACATTTCAATTTTGTTTAAATGGACACAATTGCCCTTATTTTTCTTAAATCTAACCGAACGCACCTCAACTACCTTCAGGTGGGAACAGTTCTCCTTGGTTGTGCATTCTTTTACGACCTATTTTGGGTGTTCGTATCGGAGTGGTTGTTCGAGAAGAGTGTGATGATAACGGTACGTGTTCGTTACACCGTAACGAACCTATACAATACATTTTTCTAATCACGCGTTCGTATGTGTGTGTGTTCTTTGATACGGAAGAAGAATTATGTTATTTATTAATATTATTCTATAGTTAGTCATAATTAAGATTTTAGTATGAATGTGCTCGATACTCTTCCCTATATCCGATACGACATTCCGTATCGTTCTTTTATTTTCGGTGCATGGTGTTACAGGTTGCCCGTGGGGGTATGAGCGGAGAAGACGGGATTCCGATGCTGCTAAAAATTCCGAGGATGTTTGACCCTTGGGGAGGATATAGCATCATTGGTTTTGGGGACATTATTTTACCTGGCTTACTTGTTGCTTTCTCACTCAGGTGTGACCACAATGACTATTATTTGATTCTTTCACATAGATTGAATCAAACCTATCCTAAGATTATAGTAAAAATAGATGTTATCGCTAAGACTTTGGACAATAAATAAAAGAAAAGTAAAGAGAAAGACTTGAGCGAACAAAAAAGAACAATACAGAGACCAATATGCTTCATTTTTTATTAATTATATGGACTAATTTGAATATTTTGGGACCTAAAGAGTACTTTGTCCAACTTTATCAACATTTTTGAAACTAGACAAACTAAAGAAACTACTAGTATAAAATTTATTTTAAACATAACATATTGTTGATGAAATATTTATATGTTAAATATTATTTCTTGAAACACGATCAATGAATAGAAAAAATAAAAGTTGGGTTGTATCAAGCTAGGTCGTCAAAAATGTGTTGAAATCATCCAAAGACAAAACCTGGCCCGACCGGAATAAATTGGTCCAGACTTGAAATTTTCAAGTTCGGGTTCCATTCTTATCCTTTAGCCTATTTCGATTTTCCAATTTTTTTCGACTCCCGTCTGGTCGAGTTTCAGACCGGTGTTCATCCCTAGAGGGAAATAATGTGGCTATTGGGAAATAACATTTTTAAATATATTTTTAACTTGGTTGGTTTCAGGTATGACTTTTTATCGAATAAGAGCCTTCGAAGTGGTTACTTTCTATGGACAATGATGGCTTACAGTTTTGGTATGAAGACCCTTTTCTAAATTTTCTGCACAATAATTAGAATCTTTTCTTTGAACATTTTTTTTTCTAGGGTTTGGTTCTTGGTTTTTGTTTGGTAATATGTGACATTAAACTTAATTTCTACATTATTATTATAATACAGGTTTGCTTGTAACATATGTTGCCCTCAACTTGATGCATGGACATGGCCAACCTGCATTGCTTTACATAGTTCCCTTCACCTTAGGTACGTAATTACACAATACTTAATCTTACATTAATCTTGTCATTAATGCCCTTTCTACCCACACAAAAACTGATTGTAATTAATTCTCAGGAACAATTTTTGCACTGGGGATGAAGTACAGTGAGCTCAATCATCTATGGTCAAAAGGAGATCCAGACAGACCTTGTCCCCATTTCCATCAACTCCAGTTTAATTGATGAATAAGGGCTTTATTAGGAGGAAAGAAAAGTAAAGTGTAGCTAGATGACATGCAATTTCTAACACTCACTATTGTGGTAAATATATGGAAATTGTGCATTGTGCTCCTTGTAAGTTCGTTTGAGTCAAATTAGTCCCCCATATATAGAAAATGTGAATCCAGTTAGTCCTTCGAACGGAATTCATCTCCTGGAATTCCGAGTTATCACGTTAATTGATGCAAGAGCAATGGCCCCGTGTATTAGTTTTTGTGTCAATTAACCTATTAACTTAGAATTTTAGAAGATAAAATTTTGCATAAAGAACTAATTTGATTCACATTTTCTAGTTACAGGAGTTTGACTAAACCGAACTTAACCGAGCTTACAGGGACAAAAATGACTCATGAGTGCACTTACATGGACTAAAGCGAGTATTAACTAACAAAACGTGTTGATATTTCAATTAATTTTTACCAATATTACCTATTTAGCTTCATCTTTGAGATGAGATATGTGAATTCAAATTTTCCAAAATGAGATTTTTGGAAATGACATGATTTTGAGAATCACTCTTCTCCATGATTAGCACCAGATTCAAGTGATTTTCAAACTCACCAAATTCGTCTTTTTAGCCCAAACATAATTTTTTCAGGTGTAAGTAATTGACAAATTGTCCCTTATTTTCAAAACCTCAAACATTCCATTACTCTGGTCAGACAACATTCCATTACTCTGGTCATTCTGGTGAATTGGAATACACAGTTAACTTAGTCAGTCAGTACTTAAAAGGGCAAAAAATGCAGACAAGCTGCGGTTCAGATTTTGTGATTCGTCCTAGAATCGCAACTTTTTTAGAACTACCCGTGTGCGAAAAACGATGTTACAACAAGTCATATTTACATAAACAAGGAAAAGAACGTCACCGACCGCGAGTTTTGTAAGAGCTCCAACACGAATCCGCATGGCATTCCCTGGGCACACCATAACAGTGGCTGCTGAACCAGCAATGATCATAAATCACTTCAGGCTCTGTTTTAACGCTGACCAAATTTTTCAAAAAAAAAAAAACACAATCAGGCAAACATTTTCGTGTCGATGGTTTGAAATGTGTTATGCATTCCCGATTGATTTTTTATTGGAATCCCATACTACCTCCGTCTCTGAGTATTTGTCTAGTTTTGACTTTTTCACTCAACCATTTTCAACTTTTGACATATAATTAAGTAAAACTTACGGAGTATATGGTGTATTAATCAGATAAAATAATATTTTTAAAATATTTTATAAAATAAATCTATTAACGTTATTTTTTTGCATCGATATGTAGTATCAAGTTTATCAATTTTGACCGAAATAGTCAAAGATGGACAAATACTCAGGGACGGAGGTAGTATGTAACTTCTATGTAGTCAAGGATTAGGAGCTGAAAAAAAGAAGCTCAAGTGTATCCGAGCAAGTGACCACTTGAGGCAAAAAGACCCAAGTTGAGAATATAGTCCCACATCGAACACTCGAGGTTAATAAAGACTAATATATATACAAATAGTAGTTAATCCTCTCATTGCCAATTAGTTTTGGGTTGGAATATCATAATTCTACAAAGTTGACTATAAGTGTATAATCCCATGTATGGGTGCAGTGCATCACATTGCTATTTTCATGAAATGTTGGGACCTGATCTAAAATCATACCTCAAAACTGAAACTAGCTTCCAACGCAATTGGAAAAATCACTCATCAAGAATAATTGATAAGATGAATAAATTAGTGAATGTACTTACTTGCTTGTCTTCTCAAGAAGTGCCGTTGATTGTAATTGGGACCCGACTCCTCTCTTGGCCTAGTGAGAGAATCTCTTGCATTCTTTCAGGCCAGTCTGAGTTTAATATTCGGGCAAAGTCTGCAACTTCCCTAGCCATGAGGGGTAAAAAGGTCATATTTTCCAGTCAGACTTTGAAGTAGAATGAAGCATACATTGCTGATAAATACAGAGTAACATACACTGATACACCACCAATTTACTTACCTGTCAATCTTTTCTTTCATCACAGGGTCAATCTCATCATCTAACCCATCGTCAGAATTCTGTTCTGGAACAAAACAGTTGCTTTCAAATGGTGCCATGTTCAAAGTCCTGTCAGCCTTGTGCCCAGAATGATCATTAACTGTAGCAGTACAGTCCACAGACGTTGTCTTAAGCTCTTGTTTAGTGGGAGTGTTCTTGTTTTGATCTTTCCTTTTGCGGTTCTTCCTCTTACTACTTTTGGAAGCTCTTACACCCTTTGAATCTGGAAAGAGAAATAATCAGAAGCAGATGGAAGCAACTAGGAAATTTCCTTCCTACCAACATAACGTTTCCTAAGGCCAAAGCAAATTACCTCCATCTTCTCCATTAATAAAAGACATGAGGTCATCAACAGAACGTTCATCCGCCTGCTCCTCTTCAACCTCAGGATTCTGAAATAGTAAGAACCTGAATATCATTGATATTAACATGAACGGAACACATTAAAGGCATACAAAATGGAGCAGAATGTAATACCACATGCACCTTCGATATTTCTCTCCCTTTTAATTCTTTCCTCTTTCTGGCATACAATCTATTCAAAAGCCGAATCCGTGGATCATCCATTGTGTTCTTCAAGGGCTCTAATTTCTCTTCCTGAATAGATTTGTACATGTCAGCTTCACAGAAAATATGGCAAAATCTCAAGTAAAACAGAAAGGAGAGTGAGCAGCATTTATGCTACTTATAAACAACAGGCACCTCTGTAAGATCGTCTGGTAGATGGAATACATTACGTATTTCTTCTGGGTTTTTACCCTCAATCATCCGTGCAAGTGCACGACTTGTAAGGTCAAGCAGTGGCTTTAATTGCAGGCTGTCAGCAGCAGATGTCAACTGGCATAGCCTCTTTATGTCTATGCGAATGAACTTCTCATCAAATGATTTTCTCTCCTGCAGGAGAAAAAACTAAACTATCTGGAGGAGATCTTATACACTGGTTCAAGGAATTTGAGACTAGAGAGGGAAAAGAAAAGAAAACGATATGGAAAACAATGGTTCTTGTTTAGTTGTGGAAAAGAAAAGAAAAGTGAACGGAAAAAAAAGGAGGGAAAAAAACTAAAAAGGCGGGAAACAAATTTTCTTCCAATTTGGTGGGGAAAAGGAAAGAAACATTTTTCCTTTCCTTTCCTTCCTACTTCTTCAAACCAAACATAGCGGGTTAAGGTCTCTTTGGGACCCAGAAATGTTGTGTAAAGAAAACGAGGATGAAAATAGAAGTGAGATTTGGAAGGAAAGAAGCTTTTTTCTGGGGGAGGGGGGGGGAATAGAATTTTGGTTCAAACTTCAAACTCAATACATCAATTCTAGATCATTGTTCAAAACCATTTTACCAATATACGGAGTATTTATATTATAATAATTATATAAAGACTAAAAATCTGAATATATGTGAATTTCTAAAAGTTCTAATCAACTTGGATTTGCTTTTGTATTTCCCAAATTAAAATTGTAAAACCAAACATAGAGGATCCATTTTTACTACTTTCCATCTTCAGCACATATCCTTAAATAATATGAAGTGCTTTTTGTTTTCAATATGAAGTACTTTTTATTAAAATGATTTACACATTTATATATATTTCCTAATTCTTTTTGTTAGAGTATAGTTTCTGTCAACAAAATTGACACATTGAAAATGTTCTCGTTCTAGGTGAGGTTTACAAGAACACTTGGTGATTAGATAAACAGCCACAAATTGGAGAAAAATTTCACAAACCTTGTTGGAACGGCCATGTACTTGGTGAAAATGGCAATAATCAATAATCAAGCTCAACATGGCAGGATTAACCGTTGAAGGGAGTGATATAGGGCAATTTTTTGAAGATCCCAACCCAGAGTGCATTTCATGGCAAATAAATGGGCAAAACATTGCAACTACTTGTTCTACAGGCTGTGTCAATCCATCAGATGTTTGAATCCATACATAGGACTTCATGAGCTGCGCCTGAGAAGGGCAAGAACCACAATATACTTGACAAAGGAACACATAGTATACTGCTCAAAATGATTTCATATACTAGAATTATATATGCTTCTATATGTTTCCTTTTACACGGCATACGTTTTAGAGTTCTTCCAAATAGCAATGCAGGTTCAGTGGTACTTATAGACTATAGTATACAATTCCTAAAAATCAGTTGGATAATGCTCAAAAGTACAACAACAACAACCCAGTATAATCCCAACTCCATCAGGGTCTGAGGGTCAAAATGGTACTTATAGACTATAGTATACAGTTCCTCCATATCAGTTGGATAATGCTCAAGAGTGTCTGATGGAAATCGGAAATACCTCAGGTTTAATAACTTTACTATCAACTTCTGTCATTGACTCCCAAGATGAAAATAAAGAAATATGTTATTCAGCGAAACCCTTTGAAGTTGTAATCCTGGAATTAAAGATACAATCGGATCAGTACCACCGACTCTGAGAAAATCAAACAGCTCTCTAACTTTCACTTTTCTTCCAATTTATTCATATGATGGTGCATATATTCACCTCACATTCTTGCTGTGTTTAAATATCTTAAGTAAAAAACTAACAGAGTACGACTTATATACAGATTACACAAAGTAAGACATGGCAGTTGACAAGCTAATGATAAATTACTACTCAAAAGATTGCCACTAAACTTGTACTTCCATTTCATTAATAATTGAATTGCTAAACTCCAAAGAAAATCCTTGAAGCACTTTGACCTTAAACTCGGAATTGATAGAGAAAATTCCCACTTATTTAATTATCTGTTAAAATAAAATAGTGTTTTCACCACTTATATCATACGGAGTAACACGTTTGATGTAATTTTTAACTATGTAAATTTTATTTCAAGATTTTACAATAATCTTTAAATAAATTGATTAAAAATAACTTCGATCAAAATCCTAAACAAAAATGGGAAGTTTATTAATGGGGGGAAGGAGTGCTAAGCAAGCAGAGAAGCAGACATTCCTACTTCCTAGCACATATGCACATTCATCATCGAGACATCGCCCATAATCGCCATGCAATACTTTTCTGTGCATTTCATAAGACCTAAAAAGATGATTTTTATGAACAAATGGACCTTTACAAGTTACAAATGAACAATTACAAGTTACAAAATGAAAGATTTAAAAGGAAGAAACTGAAGCTTGGAATTAAAAACAGACATATCTTATAAAATTCCAGAGAAATCAATTCCTCCGACCACCAGAATATCAAAACATTTTGCCAATAACTTCAATAGCGGGTAAATTTCAGTGACTCCGAATCAGAAATTAGCATTTTTATACCAATTCAGTCTCGAATATACCTCGTCCGGAATTAATTATTGGAGTATAAACAACGAAGCAGCCGGAGAAGCGTAATACTTGGGGATATCTATGTGAAATATAAATATCTATCCCCAATGTATTCCGCTAAAATAATAAAAATTGAAAATTTAAACGTGGAGAAAATGGGGAAGGCGGTCGTGCCCTCTCCGGAATGTGGCGGTGGGTGGTTGGCTGCGTGCGGTTGACGGCGACGACGAAAACGGATAAAATGGGAGAGAGAGAGAGATGATAAAGGGTAAGGATAGAGAAACGAGTTTATGTTTATTTTTAAAATTAAATACCCTAATATTTTTTTTAATTCAAAATACCTTGTTATTCTTATTAAAAACAGAGTTGAATATTGAAAAAACAAATTTGATGTTGAAAAAAATGAGAAAGAGTAAAAATAAATTGAAATGAGTTTCAAAAGTTAGAAAGGATAAAAAAAACTCAAAAAATGAAAATGTTGAAAAGACAGAAAAAAATTATATTTTTAAAATTTCATATTAAATTATACGGAGTAACAATTATTCATAAAAGTCTTTATTTTATCCAATGTTTCAAAATCTATGATAGATAATAATTCTAAATTTACTAAAATTTGTGAGTTTTGAGTTGACGTTAGATGCTAAGACTTGTTACAAGATTTATTTTGCGAAATAAAATAAATGTTGGGATTATTTTTATAATTTTGGTTTTTTTAATTTTGTTTGAATTTTTAAAATATCTTTCTATCTATCAATTTTTAACACATAAAAATAATAATATAAAAAAAATGAAAAAAAATAAAATCATACATAGTACAAATTATTAAATAAAAGGATAATCATTGAAAACAGACCTCGAAGTAACAAGAAAAAACTAAAAGCATACAGAATGGTGGCTTTTAATCTAAATGTATTATTTTACTCCCGTCGGTAAAAAAGAAAATAAAAAACAAAAAAACAAAAATTTTTTTGCTCGATCCTTGCACATAATTTTTTTAATTGGGCAGTAGTAAGGTTTGAACTTATGATCTTTTAATCATTAAAAATTTAGAATAATGTCTAGAAAGCCATTTAATCAGAAGTTCAAACTTGTATTTATAAGTACAAGATAAGTTTTATACTCTAACTTTCTTCTTATTTTTATGTTTATTTCTATTTTTTAGGTTTTATTAAGAACATAACTTTTTCCCCCTTTTTATTGTCATTTTTTTACCAACGAGAATAAGTTATACATTAATGCTATGTATAATGCCTAAAATATTAAAACACACTAGTTCATATAGATTAAATTTTATTTCTTATCAATTTGAAGTTAGTTTGTTGTTGATTATATTTTTAATTCATTATTTTCGTATGATTTTAGTTATTTTTCTCATTTTCGTTATTTTTCATATCTATTTTTTTCTAAGGTATGACTAATATTTAACAAAAGAAAAAGAATTGATGGAGGTAGAAATTCATTTTTGAAACTAATGAATTTTTTCAAAAAAAAAAGAAAATTTATAAAAATAATCTCAGTTTTCATTTTATTGTGCAAACAGACTATTTCATGGCCAAAAAATTATGCGTCAATGCTCTATCTTTGCCAGAAAATTGGCAGAAAATAATCAGAGAGGGTGTGAGTGCAACATTTTGAAACCACATGAATTCTAAAAATAAATTTTAAAAATATAAAAGGTACTAGTACAAATTTTCCAAACTACATGGAAATACTAGAACTATTTGGCCCCATGATTATATCTAAAGATAAAAAATGAGACCATTAAGAGGGTGTTTGGCAGTGTGCTGCTTTAAATAATTTAGCTTCTGCTTTGAGTGAAAGTACTTTTGCTCTGTTTGGCATGTCAGCTTTTGCTTTTCACCACCACTATTTTACACATAGAACACCATTTCGGAGAAGCAGGTATGTGGTGCTTTTGTTTTCAGCTTTTGTGGAAATCACTTTATCTACAAGTTAATCACTCCCAAACACCCTCTAAACACAAAAGAAATAATGACACTGCAGTCCTATAATTTCAATTACATGCCTATTAATTAAGGTATTTAACTAAAAAGGTTTCAAATTCCCACCGGAGGCCTATTTAACTTCCCGTTTTTCTTCTCCGCCCCAGAAATGAAGTACTGCGGAGTTAATTTTACCAAACTCAAAGGGCAGCCGCAAAATTATCGCCACGTGTCAGATTTTCATCCGTTGACTGTCCACATTTACCCCTCTTTTTTATCGACGCGGGGATAAAAACGTAATTATAACAGAGCTTCTGGTTATCCTCTTTGAGAGACTGAGAAAATTTCCAGAGCAGGATAATGGTGTGAGAGGGAGAGCTTCACCTCTCCATACTTCAGTAGCAGTACAGAGTCTACGGCGGCTCCGATTCGCCGTCGGAAATGGCAACCGGCTCCGTTATCTCCCACCGGAATTTCGGCTCTTTCGCTGGTTCAGTAGGTACTCTCTATGCGTCTCGCATGCTTGAATTTTGGTACTTTATGCTTCATTTTTTGGAATTTCGTTTTCTACTTTCATGAGCTTTTGACGGTTCGAGGCAGCCGTTGTCGCTTAAGTCATACGGATTAACTGTTCGTTCATGTTCCGATCTCGAGTAAGACGACCACCGCTTCTATAGTGCGTGAAATTTCAATGTGGCGTCTGTTTTTCGTTGAATCTCATCGAGTTATGGCGGTGCAGTAAGTTGCACATAAGTTAAGAAAATGAAAAACTGTTTTGGTCATTTATTCAGTGTAGATTGGAATGATATGAATGATGAATCACGAATGAGTTCCTTCGTATGAATTTGAAAAATCAAATAAGATTGTTTAGGGAGGGAGCGAGTGATTATATGCTTACTGAATTTCTAAGTATGTGTTCCAGATTAGTATAGTTTTTTTTTTCTTTTTTTTTTTTGCAAATTACAAATCTATGTCTAAGCATGATTTCATATATCATCATTGATCATTACACTTCCATTAGCAGGCATAGTAAGTCAGGCAGAGAGGTCTACTAGTATTCACAGAGGAAGGAGGTTTAGCTTTGCTGCAATGCAGTATGTGCATAAGGCTGTGGTAGTGGATAAAATTTTCCTTCCAAGAAAAAATTACTCATCCTTTGGCTGTATGTATACGTGTGACGCCTCAAATGGTAAACCCTATAGATCAACATCACTGTTTCGAGTTGAAGCCTTCCAACGGAGAGAATCAAGTGTGGAGGTTCATGCCCTAGACCAAAGTCCGAAGTTGAGAAGATGCACATGGTGTAAGGCGGGTGCTTCATCTGGACACAGTTGGATTAAACCAAGGAAGCTAGATAGTATTTGTTTCTTTGACAACCAAAGCCAGCACATAAGGCATTCACCTCGAAATAGGGCACATGCTGGCCTTACATCTGATGAGTATGACATGACAGGGGCATTAGAACCTTTTGTGTCTCCAGATGTCGGTGATACTGTTCCAAGAGAAGGTGCAAAACCTTGGTTCGAGCAGTTCCCAAAACGATGGGTGGTAGTACTATTATGTTTTGCTGCTTTTCTGTTATGCAACATGGATCGTGTGAGTGTCTCTCTTCTTCTCCTGGTTATGAATCTTGTTTGCTAAGAGATTATTGTTCTCACTATTTCCAATTTGAAGTGACTATCCTTTCACATAATCAAAACTACTGTCTGGCTTGTATCTAGAACGGTGGCAGTATTATATAAACATGTCGAATCTTCTAAGCAGTTCTTGAGTTATTAGTTGGGATGCAATAAATGATTGTATGAATTTATTTTAGGTCAATATGAGCATTGCAATTCTACCCATGTCAAAGGAATTCAATTGGAACAGTGCTACTGTAGGCCTCATTCAGTCTTCTTTCTTCTGGGGATATCTGCTCACACAGGTCTCGTTGAGTTCTGGATAGTGGATATATATTTGTCACTTTGTCTGTTGGGATAAATATTTCCTGCTAATTATCTCTTGTACTAGTCCAAATACTAAAGTCTAAAACGTCTTTATTCATCGGTGAAATATTATGTATGCCCTTCAGAATCCTGTTGGAAGCCACTGTACGATATTCTAGTTATCTTTTTTTTATTTTGCTTAGATTGCAGGAGGGATTTGGGCAGATAAATTTGGTGGGAAACTTGTGTTGGGATTTGGAGTAGTATGGTGGTCTATTGCGACCATTTTAACACCCATTGCTGCTAAGGTTGGGCTTCCTTTCTTGCTTGTCATGCGTGCCTTCATGGGTATTGGAGAGGTCAGCCACATAAGCAATTTTTCTCTAATAAAACTCTCCCATTAACTAACTGCACCTTTTTCTATACCTAATGAAGGGTATTTCCCCGTTCAGGGTGTTGCTATGCCTGCTATGAACAATTTACTGTCCAAATGGATTCCAGTCGCTGAGAGAAGCAGATCTCTCGCACTTGTATATAGTGGCATGTATCTCGGTTCTGTCACAGGCCTAGCCATATCTCCTATTTTAATTCAGAAGTTTGGTTGGCCATCTGTGTTTTATTCCTTTGGCTCCATAGGGAGCATCTGGTTTGCATTTTGGTTGAGAAAAGTAAGTTTTTCCCCTTGGTATCCAATGCTCCTTTACTCCCTTATTATTGATTCATTTCATCTTTTCCCTGATAAAGTTTGCACTTAAAAGACTCGACGCGGTAAATAAGACATGATAAAGTTTGGTATAATATTGGGGGGAGGGGGGGTCATTGTGTGCTATTGTATGAGCTCATTCTTAACTATCCCATGCCGTCTGGCGTCCGTATCTTATGCAGAGTACTCTGCATATATTACAATATTTTGCTTCCTGCAGGCGTACAGTTCCCCAGAAGAGGATCCAGAGCTTAGTAAGGCTGAGAAGAAGTTGATCATGGGAGGAAGTGTTCCAAAAGAACCAGTCACCAACATCCCATGGAAGCTAATCTTGTCAAAGGCACCTGTATGGGCTCTCATTATTTCCCATTTTTGCCATAACTGGGGGACATTTATTCTTTTGACATGGATGCCTACGTACTATAACCAGGTATATATGGTATCTGCAGCATCAACTGCAATGTTTCCCTTTCCTAACTAAGATTTATGGTTCCATTTTCATTTTGTTCAATTGACAATGAGCATGATATGTGATTCTACCTTTATGCCAAGGACAACAAATAGTGACATACGATATCACTAGACAATAAAATGAGACATTGATATGTGCTAAGGAACTAGACATGTGACACCAAGAAGAATTGAAGGAACATGAGTTTGAGAATAATTAGATGCCGGAAGTTGCAATAATCAGAACTCTTTGTCATTCAGTATTCATTAGTTGGATTGGTTTTAAATAGTTTAACAACTTTAGTTAGTATAAGACTTAGTTGTTGTATTTAGTTAGGACAGTATAGATGGGGTATCATTTTCAATTATTAGAATCTAATAATTCTACCTTTGTTTAATATTTATAAAAGAGTCTAACAAGGTCAAGTACCTGAGTTTCTGCTAAGAACGAGTCTGCCATAGCCCTTCCATGTGTGACAATTGCTCACATGTCTTATATCCCAAATTTACTGGCAAGTTAGTACGTGCATTAGAGTGATTTTCTGATAAACTGTGGTATTTTATGTAGGTGTTGAAGTTCAACCTCACAGAATCAGGATTATTTTGTGTGTTGCCATGGCTTACAATGGCAGTCTGTGCAAATGTAGGCGGCTGGATTGCAGACACTCTTGTGAGCAAAGGATTCTCTATCACATCAGTCCGCAAGGCAAGTGCTGCATGTCATTCCTAGATATCTGTACAACTAGACCCAGACGCTATTTACCTTATAGTGCAAGTCACGAGTTAATATTTCTCATTTTGTGAAATCTGAAATGAACTCAAATTGCAGATAATGCAATCAATTGGCTTCCTAGGCCCTGCCTTCTTCCTTACCCAACTTAAACATGTAAACACTCCTGCTCTTGCGGTGTTGTGCATGGCATGCAGTCAGGTTCGTGCTAGCTGTAAACACTCCTGCTCTTGCTTGACTAGATTCTTGCATCTTTCCTAACTTGAATTACTGTTTGAATCTTCTCCTTCAGGGATCAGATGCATTCTCTCAGTCAGGCCTCTACTCCAATCATCAGGACATTGGACCACGCTATTCAGTAAGTTATTTCAAGGGCATGGTGATGGGTTTTTTTCTTTTCTTTAGTCACTTTCTGTCCCATGTGGTTCTTGGGAACATAGCAGTTATTCCTGGTTGGCTGGTTCTAAAAGAGCATCCAAATTATGGGTGATAAATTAATGGACTGAAGTACTGGACAAACTTATAATGGATGGATTTAAAGCACTCCATTTATGATCCATCCATCCATTGCAAGTGCATTTAAATTGATCAAGTCGCCCATGATCGATTTATCAAATTCCTTCCATCAACAAGTTTTACACGGATGGATATCCAATCCATCCATATTAATATCATTTTCTTATGTAAAACTGATTGAACATTGTGATCGTGATACTCTGGCATACACAGTGATCAAGAATATTAATTCATTTTTAACTTTGAAAATCCATTGTATCCCATGAATATGGAATATATATACACAAACCGAACCAATGGATTAAAGAAATAAATGATGGATCACTAACCACCCTTCATTCATTGAACCTCTTAATGGATGGATCAAATACATTTACCTTTGGATGGATTGATACACGAATATGTAGTTGAGTTTTCTATGTTGCTTTTGAAGTTTTTCCAAGGATTCATGGTGTCACTTGTAATACTTATGCAGGGAGTTCTCTTAGGACTATCCAATACTGCAGGGGTTTTAGCCGGCGTTCTTGGAACAGCAGCAACCGGATACATACTACAAAATGGTAAACATAAAAGCTGCTTTGCTCGTCTTTCTTCTTTAAATATTTTGCCAACGCCATGGTTACAATTGTACAAGGAATAATGTTCAATAATGATGGACATTTAGTTGAATAATGACTATTTGATAATGACCAAAGGTCCTACATTGAGAAATAAAAACATATAGTCCTATTTTGGGAAAGTCATTATGTTTTAGTCCTATTTAAGTAGTGAAATTTGCACTAAATGGGACTAAAACATAATGACTTTCCCAATGTAGGACTTAAACTTTTTTATTCCATAAATAAGACTTAATAATGACCTAGTGAGAGGAATAATGTCCAATAATGATGGACATGTAGTTGAATAATGACTTTGATAATGACCAAAGGTCCTACATTGAGAAATAAAAACATATAGTCCTATTTTGGAAAAGTCATTATGTTTTAGTCCTATTTAAGTAAATATCTCATTTCCAATTTAGTACACCGGTTTTAAAATCCTAGCAGTTTCAGTCTCTCGACTTTCCAACTTTTGCCAAAATCATCACTAGCTCTTACTAAAATTGTCACAACTGGTCATGGTCAACTAAAAGAGTTTACCCTGGATAAAAAGTAAAAGTAAATTTTCAGTTGATCGACATTATAATCATGACAATGGTTGTTCAATGTGCTGCCAGGATCATGGGACGATGTGTTCAAAGTTGCGGTTGCTCTGTACCTCATAGGCACATTGGTATGGATCACGTTTTCGACTGGAGAGAAAATTCTTGATTGAATTTGATCGATGAACATCTGAACTTATCTCTATTTTTTTGTTGAGAAACCCATTCAAAGCAAAGGTGCTTGTAAAAGAATGTCAAACCCTCTCTGGTTTCGAGTAATGCCATATAATTCTTTTGGAGAAAAAAATTCATCCAGTCAGAATATTATACGCAAGAATAGGAAAAACTAGAAAAACAAGAAGAGAACACTATATTTGTGGAGCATTTTTCATTCAAAACAATACAATTTTCTCTTTTCTTTTCCTTTTTTCCCCATCCTTTCTATTTATATACTATCATGATGAAGTTTTCATGGGTAAATTTCAAGATAAGTAGTTGAACTTTCACAAAAATTTTGATTTGTTTGATGCCTCTTTCGCCTATTTTTTTTTTTAATTCTTTAAATGAATGAACATGGGATTGTTTCCTTAAACATCATATCTTTATTTGGATACATTTTAATTTTATTTTAATTTTTTTTGTAGAAAAAAAAGCATTGCATTCAATCAAAACTACTCTTTTTATTCATTCAAAATGTTTTCTTTTATTGGTATGGTAATTTAATTGCTCCACAGCTCAGCAATTTGATAACATCACCAATATATTATTTTATTATATTGTACGGAGTATATGAGATGCCAAAGAAAAGGGAAAAGGAATTGGAGCTCATTGCATAAACATATCATTCATTCACTGTATCAATTATATAATTAAAAAGAGAACAAAGATTTAAATTAAAAAAAAAGTACACTGGGGGTATATCAAATTTGTGCCTAGAGAAATAAAAAATAATAATAACACAGAAAAAATAGAAAATAAAAAAAAGAATAAGAGATTAAATACACTCAAGAAAATACAAGAATTGTCTACCCAATAGTAAAGAGCAATTGCCTCAAACTTAATTTGTCCATCCAACTCCACCCTGTCTGCAATGAATGTGATGATAGTACTCTTTCCATCTCTTTGTGTTCCAGTTTGTCAACAAATAAAACATTTAATCATCCATGTGAAAAATCTCCCCAAAATGCCCTCCCAATTACACCCTCCCACCTACTTATACCCCTCTCAACCATCCCTCATTACTACCAATTCAACAACCTCCATTACTACCCCCATAATCTGGTGCTACATTTCGGTCCGGACAATTCGCCCGGATCAAAATCTAACTTTTTTTTCCTTTAGAATGTACGGGTATTTTTTTTTGGGTATAGAAATTTACAGTGGTGGTGAATTGTTTTCTTTGTTAATTTGGGCTAAAATGGGTGATAAGTCTCTAGGGTGGACACTTACCTTAAGCCCATACTTCATGAAAAGTGTCAAAGACATTTTCTGCTCCACTTTGTGGCCCGGAGAAAGGGTCAGCCGGTGCCGGAGCAACACGGCGGCGGCTATGGACTTCATTTGCAGGTACGCCAGGTCCTTCCCCAGGCACACCCTCGGGCCGGCGTTGAACGACACGAAGCGGTACTGGTCGTGCGCCACGAACCTCTTCCCGTCGGGGGACAGCCACCTCTCGGGCCTGAACACGAGGCAGTCGTCCCCCCACGCGTACCCCATCCGCCCCGCGGAGTAGATGGAGTACGTGACCGCGGACCCCGCCGGGACGAACGTCCCGTCGGGGAGCACGTCGTCGGCCACCGCGTGCTTCGAGTCCTCCGGCACCGACGGGTAGAGCCGGAGGGTCTCGGAGAGCGCAGCCTTCAGGTAGACGAGCTGGTCCACCTCCTCGAACTGGAGCGGCTCGTCCAGCCAGGACGACGCGTCGTCCCCTCGGGTCCCGCGCAGGACGGAGCAAATCTCGGTCAAAATCTGCTCCTCCACCCTGGGGTTCTCCATGATGAGGGAGAAGAACCAGCACAGGGCCACGGACGACGTGTCGCGCCCAGCTAGGATGAAGTTGAGCGCCACGTGCTGGAGCGCCTTGTCGTCGCTCGAATACGAGGAGTCCTTCTTGATGAACCGGGACAGCAAGTCGTCGTGCTGGTGGTGGTCGGCCGGGTGAGCCGCCGCCGCCGCGGTGAGCTCGAGCCGGCGGGCGGCGATGATGCGGGACATGTAGGCGTCGAGCTGGCGGAGGCTTTGGCTCAAGCTGACTTCCATGCCGAGGCGGAGCCACTTCTTGGCCTTCCAGATGACGGCGGGGAGGATGAAGCGCTGGAGGGAGGCCTCGGTGGCGCGGTCGAAAGCGAGGGCGAAGGCGTTTTCCGGCAGCCCCTCCGCCAGAGTCTCGGGGTCCTTGCCGAAAGCCAAGCCGCATATGTTGTCGAATGTTAGCCGTAGCAATAGGTCTTGCAAGTCTACCGATTTACCTGTTCCAAATTTACCAGAAAAAAAATGTTACTCTTTACAAACTTCACGACAAAATTTAAAACTTATACTAATATTGCCCCAAAAAAGTTGTTATCAAGAGTATTAATGACGTGAAAGTATGATAACTTTGTACTCCGTAATATATAATGACTTAAAATATAAATATACTTAATATTAATAAATCAGTTAATATATTATGATTAATATTAATCATAATATTATTATATCAAATAATATTTTTAATATGAATATATCAGTGTTACTATTTTTACTATCGTCCTGAAGTATTCGTTCACTTTTGACTTTTTCGATCAAAATTGATAAATTTTGACCTAAATTAAATAAAAATGATATTAGATATTGGTACAAAATAATTTTATTAGATTTTTTGTATACAAGATATTTTCAAAATATTATTTTATCTAATTAATATAACACATATATTTTATTTAATTACAGGTTAAATGTTAAAAACAATACACTGAAAAAAGTTAAAACTAGACAAATACTCTGTGATGGAGGGAGTAGTATTTTGACCTGTGTCACACATGGTGTCAAACAAAATTTTTTCGACTCTAATTTTTTTTCAATGTAATATTGTTTTACGGATTATTGATAATATATTTCTAACATTATTTTTAATACTATAGAAAAAAAATACCAAAGTAGAATAAATAATATTTGAGTAAATTGAAAGTGTATATGACAAATTTTTTAGTTTCAATTTTTTTAAAGGCTTTCAGGGTATACAACTTTTTTTCCTATCGTTGCAAGAGTTTTTATTACCATCTAGAATCAATATTTTTAATTTTGTCTTTTTCTTTACTCAGCTCGTGAAACAACAACATAAAATCGCCCGTGAGCAAATATCAACTTGACTTTTATTTGACTTGGGACTTTTAATAAAAGATAATATTTGACTTTGACTTTTATTAGTAGTCATATATAGAAAAACATGTTTTCAAAAAAAAAATCTATATATAGCAAAACATAAGACTATTGAAAATTGTTTTCTGGAAAATTTAAGGTTATTTAAGTAATTCCAAACAACATTCAACCAGTAACGTTTGACTCATAAGTGAGATTTTAGTAATTCCAAAATGTAATAAATATACTTCTAACTACTCCCTTCAATTTTATTTTCTCCGCTCCAACCCCATATTTTTTACTTCTTTTATTTGAAATCAAGAGTTTAAGAAAATTAAAATTACGTGCTTAAAGATAATGCAAGAGAGAGAAAGAATATGATCTAAAAAAATGTTCCTAAAATACAATATGAATATTTTTGGAACGTTCCAAACATTAAAAGAGGACCATTATTTCGGAACAGATGAAATCCTTTATCGCATTTTGTTTAAATTTGTTTACAATCAAATTAGACTTTTAATTTTCTTTTTTTCAAATCGATTTTTTTCAAATGAATTTTAACACCAGATTACGTAGTCCACATTTTGCATGCGATATTATTGTGTAATTACGTACCTTGTAGTTGGGCAGTTTGGAGAATGGGACAAAATCTGAGTTTAATGGCTTTGTTGACCCATCTGCCCATGGCCTGGCGGAGGGTGCGGGTGGTAAACTCCAGCGCCGCCGTCTTCCGCTGGAACAGCCACGTGTCCCCGTCGGAGTTAAAGATCCCCTGCCCGAGCAGCTCGTGGAACACCGACTGCCACGTCGGGCCCTTCGGGTAGTTGTCGAACCGGGTCTTCAGGATGTGCTCCAGATTCTTCGGGTCGCACGTGACCGTCACGAGGCCCTGCTTCCGCGCCAGGAACGGCACGGCGCAGATGCACGTCTGGTACGTGCCGCCGCAGGCTCGGAGGTTGTCGGCGATCCAGTCGTGCATCCTCTCGGAGTTCTGTATGAGCCCTGGGAGGCTGCCGAGGACGGGCCACACTCTCGGCCCCTTCAGCGACCTCGACACCACCGCGAAGAACCACGTCAGGTACAGAGTCACGGCGGCGGCGACCAGCATCACGGCGGCGGGGTCCATGTTTTAATTTGTTTGTGTGATTTAGTTTGTCAGTGTGGGTACGTGCCCGGTGAGGTAGGGGCAAAGTGGGAAAAGGGTAAAGAATGATAGAGAAGAAGGGAAGGGGCTTGCGGGGTAAATAATGAGAAATGAGTGGGGAGGGTTTTATAGGGAGGGGAGAAAGGGGGGGTGGGATATGCAATAAGTAAGGAGTACAGACTGGTTTAGGGGATTTCTCCATCTTCTCAATGCCACACCTAATAAATGCATATACAATTATACATATTCCACTCTAAAAATAATGTCCTAAAACTTTCTTTCCATAGCACTATTCCAATTTCACGGGAATTTATATTTATTTGTGTTTTTTCATTGCCTATATGATAAAATAAAATATTCTTGTCACCACTTGTTTTGTTGAACTTTTGATGTAGTTTTTAAATATGTATGTTTTATTTTTTATTTCTATACCAATATTTAAATAAAATAGATTGAAAAAATTTGGGATTTTTCTTCATTTTGCGCAATGGGGAGAAAGATATAGGACGAAGGGAGTACAACTCAACCAATCTCAGTTCATACCATACCCCAATATATGTGCCTACTAACCAATTCGATCAAAAGTTCAAATTTGTATTTTATAATTGTAGGTCCATGATAAATTTTATATTCTGACACGCCCCTCGCATACAGGCAGAATTTATTTTTCCTCGAATCTTACACATGAAAATTAATTTTTTAAAATTAAGTGGCAGTGAATTTTGAACTCGTGATTTTTTTGGTCATCAAGACTCTTGTGAAGAGACCAACTCAATGAACCAATTAAAAGCTCAAGCCTCTTGTAGGTCCATAATAGTTTTATACTCTAACACTATGATATGTATCTATGTATGCATGTATGTACTTGCAAATGTAGCTTAGTTGGTTAAGAACTTGTTAATTTTGGATTGAAATTTCAGAGTTGTATGCTGGAAGAAACTGGAAGGAACTGAAAGAAACTCGAAAGAGCTGGAAAAAACTAGAAGGAGTGGGAAAACGTTGGAAGAATTTAAGTGTTAAAAAATCACTCAATTAAATGATCACCCAAATAAATATGTAAGAAAACCCTAATATTGGATACAAAGGAATTCTTCATTGTTCGTGTTTGAGATGGTATGTTATACATTTTGATATATAATGTTATTGTATATTCATTACATATAAATGCCATTTTTAAGTCATTGTTGGATGAAACTGAAACGAGTGGCGAAAATAAGTGGATTGAGCCCTAAGAAACTGAAAAAAGTTGAAAAAAATTAGAAGTCAATTTTTCTAACCTAAAAGAACATAGCCTAAATGAGATGTAAATAAAAAAGAGTACATACTTTTAAGGTTTGATTCTTACAAGTGATGAAAGACGATCACATCTTACATGAAATTCTTGCACGCACGTATCAGATACACATATCATGTCTATTTAAAAGTTTATGGCTAAGCTCAATTTACATTATCCAAGTTAGGGTTCATCCTTTTTAATGTGCATACGTACACTATACTAAAAGCAATACTCACTTAATTCCTCCTTTCCATGCAAGGGAAGTTTTTAGTATATTTTCTTTTCATCTAAATAATTTTATCCACACAAACTTTATCAGTTATGCATGATTGCCTTCAAGTTTCAAATGTTCATAAATAGTCATTGAATTTTATGAGTTATACACAATTGGTCCTTCAAGTTTCAAAAGTCCATAAATAGTTTTTCAAGTACACGTTAACCCTCCAGATGAGATTCATTTGACAGTAAAAGTTAAAAGTTAAATGGAATACTAGGTCCATATAATACGGAGTAGTCATACCTAATGAAATTTACTCGTATTATATGGAACTAGTATTTTATTTAGCTTTTGATGTTTACTGTCAAAAGGACCTCATCTGTAAGACTAACGTGTGCTTGAAAGACTAGTTATGGCTTTTTGAAAATTAAAGAACCAATCATGCACAATTCAAAAAGTTGAAGGATCAATGATGAATTTTAACCTTAGAAATATGGCCAAATAGCTCCGGTGCCCCCTGTGGTTTGGAAAATTGGCACCAATACCCCCTCTATTTTCAAAACTTATTTCTAAAGTCCCTGTGGTTTCAAAATGCTGCACCCGTGCCCTCTCTGATCATTTTCCGGCCATTTTCCGACGAAGAGGGGTATTTGCGCATAATTTTTAAACCATAGGGGGTATTCGTGCTCATTTTTTATTTTTCGTTTATTATTTTTGTTTTTCTTTTTTTTAATATTTTCTATCTCTTTTTTCTTTTCCTATATCTTTTTCTAATTTATTTTCAATTTTTTATAATGTTTTAAATTTCTAAATTTTTTTGTGTTTGAAATAAAAATAAAAATAAAAAAATTAACATACATTGCATCTATTTAAAATTAAACATTTTCACTTTTTGTTACGTACTTATTTGGAAAGTTCAAAAAGAAAAACCTAGAATAAAAAAATAAAAATATGGAAAAATAAAATGAAAAATAAAAATACACAAAAAAAGTCTGATACAAAAAAATGGACAAGCCTAAAAAAGTCCTTAGAATTGAGATGTTCGAAAAAGATATTCATTTTTATTTTTCTATTATTTTGTTTCTTATTGTATTCGTCATTTTTTTGAAATTCTCAAAAAAAGTTTACTTTTTTCAGAAAAAACAAAAATTGTTGATTTGAGAAGTACATATACATTATATGTTGATTTTTTTAAACAAAAATAACTTTAAATTTTATGAGCATTATAAAAATGATTTTAAAAAAAACCTTTATTAATAAAAGAAACAAATACAGGAAAAAAACAAAAAAATTAGCGAGAAATAAATATCAGCACCGATACCCCCCCGTGGTTTAGTAAATATGCAGCAATGCCCCCCTTCTTCGCCGGAAAAATGGCCGGAAAATGATCAGAGGGGGCACGAGTGCAGCATTTTGAAACCACAAGAACTTTAGAAATAAGTTTTAAAAACAGAGGGGGTTTTGGTGCCTATTTTGCAAACCACGGGGGTATTGGCGCTATCATGTCAATCTCATAAAAGAAAATAATTGTGACACAAATACTACGGAGTAGTATTTAATTTTTTGTTTTGACGGTCAAATATTTAATTAAGAGGGGAAAAAGGCGAAAACATAGCTTAAAACACGGGACAACAGCACCTTGAGTTGACTCCTTCAATAATGGGTTTTTAAAAGGAATTTACCACGCAACAAATAAACACATACATTTTTTTACGACTAATAATTAAACAAAATATATAATTTTAATAGAAATTATTAAAAAAAGAAGAAGAAAATTAAGTAAGAAATTTAATTAAAAAAGACATTATTAATTAATTACGGAGTATATTTTGTTTGATTCATATATCCTCTCTCTCTCTATATAGCTAGCTAGCATATCCCTCCCAACCAATTTGAGAGAGGAGGAAATTAAAAGTGGACATTTAATTAAACATGTGCATTCAATGAAGGGAAGTGAGGTATTCAATGAGATTAGTTGAGAAACTGTAAATTGTGTATATATATATTCATAGGTAGCTTGGAAGAAGGAGGTTAATTTAATTATATTCCATTATATTTATCTCATAATCTCTTCTCCTCGAAAAAAAATTAGTTAACTGATCCCATATCTTTCTTTTTATAAAGAAAATAATACTCCGTAATTTTCAATAACTCAACAAAATCAAAAGTGAAGAAATTAAATAAATACATGCAACATTAATATTACCCTCGTTAATATTTATTTTTCATGCATCGAGGTACAAGTTAAAGTGGATATTAAACAACATTCTTTTTGTTTAAGAAATTAGCCTGAATAGAAGTAAAACATAGAAAAAATAACAAAATAATAGTTTCATGTTTTTATTCTTAAATAAGAGTTCGCACTGTGAGAATGTGATACTGTAATTCACAAACAACGCATCAAGAGTGACATTTGGAATTGTGTATGACAAGAAAAATAAATCACTATAAAATTACATTTTTAACCTTTAAATTAACACCAAAATGATAAAAGATAAAAAATTACTTGTGAAAACTAAAGATAGTCATAAAAAAGGACCACCGGGCAATATTTGATATTAGAGGACTAAATATGGAAACTCTTTGTTAGAAAGGAATAATTATACAATTTACTCCAATTTATTTTACAAAATACCCTTCGCGCGCCCTCATTGCATATTCAATTTCACGGTATTAAAATAATAAACAGCTTTTATTTTAAGTTTCGATAAGTTGCATCTATATTATTGATACTTCCATGCATTTTAAGTTTTTTTTTTAAAAAAAATCATACTCAAATTATTTTATGCATGTTATTTTCTTAGAGAATCAGCATGTCAATTTGTATATTAATGATAACACTAATCTTCGATGGGTTAGTAATTAGGTGGTTTATTAAACACAATAAAATCCCTCTATAGCAGTCGTCTCCTATAACAACATTGCACTATATATACTACGGAGTACAAACTAATAAACATTTTAAACACTTTAAAATGTTTTAAACACTTAAACAATACTTTCTCCATCTCAAATTTAATTGCATGTAAACTATTCTCACAGTCAAATTTCATTCACTTTCTTTCTCTATTTTCAGTTGTAATTTGATAAAATAAAATAGTTTTATATGTCACTGCTAGTTTTGTAAATCATATCTTTTGATGTAGTATCTTAATATGTAATTTTTATTTTTTAATTCTATAACATTTTCTATATAAAATGATTTAAAAATTATCTCAGTTAAATAAACATCGTAAACCGAAATAGGCGATATAAATTGGGACGGATGAGGGAATATATATTTCTTCCGCCCCAAAACTGATTACCACGTTATTGTTTTACCTTCTCGATAACTTTTACTTACCTACTTATTGTGCATTATTTGTAGAACGTTTTACACAATTTTTTAATATATAAGTTATTTTTTTCATGATGGTAATTTTTTTTTTGAAAAAAAAAGAAGTATACGGAGTATTAAAAAAGAAGAGGGAGGGGGTGAGATTTGTACGTGTCAAAGAAGGTAAATGGAAATGGAAGCATTAGGTGAAACCGGTGGCTGACTTTTGACCTTTGACTTTTGTTTGAGTGCCAAGTGCGAAAATGGCCAATAATACTCCTCATCACTGCTGACATCAATTTTATTTTCTGGTGAATATAATACAAAATAAAGTCAACGCCATGCATATACTCCGTGTGTATTACGTATACTTCGACGTTTAATTTTAACATTTTTAAAAATATATTTAATAAAAATATTTAATTTCATCATTTTCTAATAATGTATATTTGCACCCCACCATTAAAAAATTATTTAAAATGATAATACTAATTAAAAACATTTTTCCACAAACATTTTCTCATTTTATTTTGGGTCTGCTTCAAAATATTTTTTTTTGAAAAGAAATAAGACAAAATAAGAGGCTCGCATTGATTGTTTAACTTTTCTTTCAAAGAATTTATATTTATTTCTCAACAATTTTTGACAAACCGTGAAAGTCAAACCTATATATCATACATGTGTTGTGAACAAATTAAATAAATTAGTTAAGCTGGTTATATTAGCTGAGTACCCTCTGCATGCCAATCTGCTCCTGACCAAAGATCTGCCCGGCAGTAACCAATTCAAAGTGCACCCAAAGGTCAACCCATTATTTTACAACCGTTTGCATTAATTCCTTTATTTTTTTATAAAGTTTTTTAGTTTAAAAAAATGACAAATACTCTTCCTTATTAAATAGCACAATATAAAGATTCCAAAAAAAAGCACAATATAATTAACTAAGTACACAATTAAACAAAAAATAATCACATTACGGAGTACAATTTTTCAATTGAAGTCCTTAAGACCATTTGTAGTGACGCTTGAGCCTGGGCGTGAATGGGGTGTCACACCCTGTCACGGCGTGACTATTATTAATAATTGTATTTTTTCATACCTGTTTATTAATCATTGTTATTTTTCATTTCACCAATTTGACCAAATTATGAATATCGACAAATGAACCACCTCTCATTTAAATCTTTTTACAAAAAAAAAAAAAATTCTTCCAATAAATAATTTATACGTTAAAAACTAGTTATCATAAATAACGCTGTAAACATCGGCACAAAGAAACACTCCGTAGTCAGGGGAGAGGAACAAAAGCTTTAAAACTAACATTAAAAATTAAAATTAAAAAAAAAGAAGAAGTTATAATGAATAAAGAAAAACTCAACATATTCATGGAATACAAGTGTTGTGAGAAATCGTCCCTGAATAATGTCACCTTACAACGGAGATCCATCCTTAAAATTACCAAATACGATTGTGGAGGAACATAGGGGAAAGCACTATATGTTTACAGCAGTTGTCTCCTCAGTCACAAGTAGAACACAAAGTAAGACTAACCTTCGAGACAAACTCACTGGCCTACTTGAGCCTCTCTTGTCCTCCGTCTTGTATGGTATTTATTTAATGTCGTACAGAAGAGACGCTGTCTTTGATGAATGTACCCCGGTTGTGACCACCCACAAATATGTCTTTAATCCGCGAAAGGGGACCAAACATCCGGACAATCCTCTGCAGGGGGGAGTAGAAAATGTGAGATTAAAAGGCACGTGGTTAGAAGCATCCTGCCAATCCTCTGCAGGTTGAGGATCACACATCCCTTGTTTACTACGTTCAGTTCTACTATATAAGTGCGAGAAAAATCTAACATATTAACAATGATTATCCTACAGTTACACCACGGATGACACCAAAGTTGGCACTGCCTTCATACACAATGATTGTTTGTGCATGATTGTCTCTGAGGTTATCAACCTTGATGTCATCCCTGAGGTTAAAGTAGAGCATTTTCCTATTAAGAACACTTTAGGTCCAATCTATCATGATATAAAAACTGGTCCGATGGTGGCTTGCAGGGTTCTTGCCCATTAAATGGTTTTGGAACATTGGATTTAGGCCCATTTGTCCACCCCTTCAGTTGCGTAGTTTGGATTAGGTGTGTTGGTTGAATATCCCACGTTGAGTGTATACTAGAAGTGAATATAGAGTATAAATTTATGGTAAACTATTGCTTTAGAACCCTCTTACGGGTGAGAGTTAGGCCTAACAACATGACAAAAACCCCAAGAACCGACTACATATTTCATAAGTGCCCAAATAATAAAGCTGAGTGAAAGTGCAATACTACAAGTAGAATATAATCTTTATGTATATGTCAAAGTTTGTTATTAGATTGTTCATCAAATGCTTTCATTCTCATCTTAGCTATTTCACCAATTCTTTCTGATGATTGATAAGACCAATCTTTCTTTCACTTTATTTCGTTATAGCATCAGGAATCCAACTTCATTTTTTCCTCAACACTAGGTCTGGTGGAACTGTTGATAGGCAACTCAGAAGTCAAGTAGATACAGATAAGAATGTTGCCCCTCAACGTGAAGCTAACATGCAACAAAGTAAAATTGGTAATCCTGATGATGAATATAGAGTTTTAAGATAGAGATTTGATAGATAATGAATCCGAAAGTCCAATGCCTCGACCTAAAAACCGATGCTTGGCTCCAAAAAAGAACGTACTCAGAAGAAGACTTTTTATATGGTTGTTATGGCACGAACCATGAACACGTTTATGGTAAAGAAATGGCCAACAACAGATTATCCTATTAAAATTGATGAGTTGAAACTTGAAAGCAGAGTCAGCCTCTACCATTCAGGAGACACTTGGTTGCACATTTGACAAAAATTTGCTCTGCGATGATGTTGTAGCTCATGGCGTAAAGAGGTGATAGATGGAGTGAGAATGTCAATGATTTAAATCTTTGAATTGAACAAAGTCAAGAAAGAAATGCTTACTTCAAATCATATCAAGAGTAAGTGTGATTTTGATTTGCATATGTATCCATTAATGCTATTTGACTTTGTTATAAAACTTTTCATTTTTTGTAGATTCAACATTGCTATATGGCGATACAAAAGAAGATTTGGAAAGAAGCTAAAAGAGTGAAGAGGCCAAATAACACCATGAGGACCATTTGGTAGACCAATATAGGTGTAAGAAAGCGCTTTAGTTACACCAGCTTGTTATTGATAAATACTTCTCCTCTAATCTTAATGTAAATGAAGTGTAGGCTTTAGTAGATGCATAAAAGAGTGACAAGATGGATGACGTGAGGATGAGACATTGGATGACATGATAACACATAGAAGAGTGACAAGATGGATTGTAAAGCAAGGTAGACAAACAGATATTGGCCATTTGGGAGAAAAAATTGTTTAGAAAAATTTTCCCTTGTACCAAGAGGTTTTGGTTAACAAGGCTTAAGTTGTTAGGATGAAAGAATTGCGGTAGAAACCATACTCAGATTAATGGGTGGAGCCGTGGAATAATGCTAAAGGAGGAAAATCAGTGGCATGGATGATGGATCTCAATAGAAGCAACCATTGATTTTCCATACAAAGAAGTGAAATAGCCTAATAAATACTCCGCAGTCAGCTTCATACTTCATTGTATCTGAAAAGCATTCAGATGAAAATACTAAAAACAGGTACCTCATCATGAAGTCCACGATGCAACTTCATTTGCAAGATCTGCCACCTCTCTTGCTGCCAGTGCTGACCAAGAATCACAAGTCCCATTACAGCTGCCGCAACAAAGACAGACCAAAACGTATTTGCCTCTTTAGCATGTGAAACAAGAGAAGCAGTTTTCCTTTTCCACCAAGCTTGGCAAGGAATCTCATTGTCATGCTCATTCGTATTTGATTCTTGCTGAGAAGGTTCAGACTGGCAATTTCTTGAACTGCTTTCCTCAACAATATTTGATCCATCCTTGTTTTCATTACTATGTGAGGAACTAGGCAGTGCAGTACTGTGTAAAACTGAATCATTATCTTCCAAATCAACCTCATGTGCTGCGGTATCTTCTTCCAAATATGCATCACAAATGGGTAAGATATTTCCATAATCATCAAAGATCTGAATCCCATGAAATCCAGATGAGCCGAATTGTTTAATGGTTACCTCCTCGCTTAAGAATTCCACATTTTCTACAGCCTGTTCAATCTGGGTCTCACTAATATTCTCTGTTTCCAATGGTAAATTTTCATGCTGACTTGGTGGAAAAACAAAGTGACCAGACATAAACATCGCCTCAGATGTTTGGCGATCATTATTCAGGGCAGCATATGCCGACGATGCAAGGGATACAACCTCCCACTCGTTTCCACGAGGAGGTGCCTCTTCCTCTTCCCCATTACTTGCCATCTAGAGGAAACTTTAACTTCAACACAACCTTTCCATGGAACAAATTCATATTAATGCAATATTTAGACAATAAGCCATCTAGAATGGTTTAAAAAATTTAATATCAAAACCAATAATGCACAGAAACGAGACACTCGATAGAGCTTATAATGCAGTGAACCTTTTGAGTAGACAAAAAGATTGATTGAGAGCTTGTTGTACACCATACTCTAGAAGAGCTAAACATCAACTTACTTCATTCAATTCTATTTTTTTCCGTCTCATCATAAATCTCAGCATTAAGACCTCGGTTAGATTACGTTAAATAAATGTAGCAGCTCCTTCCCCCAGCTTGCCTGAATCACTGAGTCTAGGCAAATCTGTAATTTCCAAAAGGAATTACAGATCTAGAACTACTCCAGCAAATCTTTGAACTCTCACCCACCCTCCCACCAAAGAAAACATTTTCATTTAGATAAGATAATCAAACTAAGAGAATGAGATCAATAAACAAGGCTGCAACTCTTTAAATGAAGCACATAATGCATATGAGATGAATGCACAAACACGAATAAGGCCGGCGGAGATCCAAAACTAATCGAAATCCAGCAAACTTACAGAAGCTTCACGGGTAGTACAGGTGAGCAGGACGAGAAAACCACAATTAAAGCTTCCTAGTCAAAAGCCAAAGTATCCAATAATCAAATTAAACACCAGAAATCAAAAGGGATGAACAAACCTAATGGGAACTGAACACCGCATAGAATGATTACTCACCGAAGAGAAGATGATCGGGGCGTTCCTGTGAGGATGAACACGAAAGAGCGATGCGAGAAGAGATAGGATGTAATGGTGGAGGGAAACCGGAGCAGCCGGTGAATGTGTCGTACGGAACAAGAATGGAGGAGCTCTCCATACTCAAAAATTCCAAAGTGAAATTTGCAGGACTAAAACATAATGACTTTCTTAATGTAGGACTTAAACTTTTTTATTCCCTAAATAGGACTTAATAATTACCTAGTGGAAGGAATAATGTCTAACAATGATGCACATTTAGTTGAATAATGACTTCGTGATAATGACCAAAGGTCCTACATTGGGAAATAAAAACATATGGTCCTATATTGGGAAAGTCATTATGTTTTAGTCCTATTTAAGTAAATTTCTCAATTCCAAACCAAACATACATACAAATATGTTTGTAAAAATAATACTCCGTAATATTTTTATAATTCTTCATTAACAAATAAATCGATTTCAAAAGTCGATTCAAGTACAAATGAATTACAAATAATCATTTATTTAGATTTTAATTTTTTGTAGATGAATTTGAAAATTTAAAAAACAATTGAAATACTAATTTTTTTTATAATATGCGATTTTTTTTGTTAAAAACGAAATATAAATTAAACAACGTTTTTTAAGTATTTCTTGCATTTAATTATTAATTTTTCAATTGTTTTTCTCTCTTTGTTTGAGTGTACTTTTGATTTTTTTAAAATAAAAAATTTGTAGATTTCAATGTGTAACTAACTGCGTGTGTGTGTGTATTCAAACCAAAATTTTGTAGATTTCAAAGCATAACTTTCGATTTCGGTTTAGTTATTTCTTATAATTTTGATTATTAATTAGGAAAAATTTATACAAATACTTCCAGAAATATAAAATTTTACAATAATACTCCCAAAATTAATTAAAGACACTGGTGCTCCCGATTAAATTATAACTTTACATCGTTACTCCCATTTTGCCTAATCAGCATTCTTATGCTTACCTGTAATTATTTGAACTTAGTTGGCACTTTAGTTATTTTTTTGTTTTAATAACAAATGCCAGCTCGTCCTCTTCGTTCTTAGGGTTCTCCATCCACTTCTCATCTCTCTGCAAGTATCCAAGTGAGTTTTCTTCTTTGCTCCTCTCTGATCTTCGTCTCTCCCTCATCTCCGTCTCTCTCTCATCTTTGTCTCTCTCTCCCATCTTTGTCTCTCTCAGCTCTCTCATCTCCGTCCTTCTTTCCTCTTCTTTTCTCCCAAACTCATAACCCTAATTTAGATGTCCATGGTTTATGGTGTTGTAGTGAGAAATGGTCAGAGCCAGTCACCCGACACCAAAGTGCAAGCATGATACCAGTGCAGATTTGAATGTCTGCCAAAAATCCCCTAACCCCTAAAGTGGAAAGTGATTTTTATGGATGTTTTTACTACCCAACAATTGCACTTTTTTTGTTGGTAAGTGCAAATATAAAATCCTTAATTTTCTAATACTTATTCATTATTTGGACTTAATTGTGTCTTATTTTATTCTTACTAGCAGTTGAGTTTTTTATTTGGAAAGATGAATATGATGCTCAAAGTATTGATTCAAAGAGCAGAATTGAAGAGTTATAAGAGAGTATTATTCTGATCAGATAATGATGTTGCAAGTTGGAAACACTCAAGAAAAAGAAGACTTTGGCAGAAGACAACTCAAAGAGGGGTCTGTTTATGGTCATGTAGTCTTGGGGTTTGTATTTTGAGTCATGTTGTCTGAGGTGTTATTTACCTTATGGTAGACACATATTTTGTGAAAATTGTAATATTCATACAATGATTTTAAATGTATTTTTAGTGTAAGATTGCATGACAGTTGAATTTTGAGTATATTCAATTTGCTAGTAATGGAGTATTAATTAGCATCACCATAATTGTCTTCATTAGAATATAGAATTCAATTTATTATTCCATTTAAAATATATTACTTCTCATAAAAGTCTAAACATTAACTCATCAGGACCACTAAACATAAAGTAAAAATGTATTTAGGGAAGAGCTATAAACATGTTTCAAAAATACAGTAAATGAATAATTGTTATACTCAGTGTATAAGTGTATTGCTCCAACAAACGAGTTTTAGCTGCTCATCCAAAATAGAGACCTAACACTTTAGAATTTGTTCTTGGTGAAACACTCTATAATGGTGAAACATAAACTGGAATAACAAAGGTGGAATAATAAACTACAGGTAGCTAATAGACATGTTAAGCTATATTTGCGCAAGGTCTTAGCCAGAACATCAAATAATTTCAAAAACTAAAGTGATAAGAAAGTTATACTTCCAAAAAGAGTGCCATCCCCAAGACTTCCAGAAATACCCAAAACAAAATACGCAATACACGAGATGACATAACATAGCTATTACAAAATAAACTCTTGACTTGTAGTTTCAAGAATATACTACAAAAATAATAAGGAAACCAACATCTTCCATCATGCAGTGGGGCATATATTTGATGTTGAAACTTGGCTATTTGAATCAATAGAGACATTCACATTGGTAGCACTGTTGGCTTTGCCTCTTGCTATGCCACTGCCCCTGGGTCGTCCTTTAGCTCGTACACGCCCAATCCTTGTGGCAGGTTCAGCAGATCTTCCATAATGAATTGATGTTGAGCATGTAACATTAGTATCATCAATTTCCATTCTAGTATATGCTCCCCTAGGTCTGCCTTTCTTACGCTTGGGAGGTGCTGATAGTGAAATAAAGTTGCCTTTATCTGGACACTTCCTTTTATTGTGTCCCTTCAACTTACAAAGACTACATGTCATTTGATAACCATGTCTGGTCAGCCTCCCATGGTTTTTTGGATCCTCATGTGGGTCTTTTTTTCGATTCTTTTTTGGTCTCCCTGGCCCTATTTTAATAGGTGGAGGCTGGATTTGTAAGTCACTTGTAGGCCAATGTTTTTCTCCCACAACTGGACCTATGCATCCTTTGTAACTTTTGAGATATGCCACTTTTGTCAAGTACTCACTTACATATAGCTCAGCCTTGTGCCTAAGAAAAAATGCACATGCAACTGCGTGACAACATGGCACTCCAGATAAATCCCATTTTCTACATGTGCAACTTTTTTAAGTCATCACCCTTGTGTGTCTTTTTCCAATTGGCGTATATGTGCCTAGCACAGTTTCGATGTTCTGCCTTGGGGAAAATAGAACTCACAGCATTTAGGATGCCCTGAAGTAATTAAGCTATAATGGTGAGTAATAAACTTTGAGAAATGGACATTAAAAATGTATATAGGATGCCTTGAAATTAACACTAAAACACTAAGTTATAAGTAACCACACTAAAAAACATCGCGAACAAAGAAACATGAAACATATACCTTTTGTTGATCAGAAATAAAAGTCCAACCTTCTCCACTATTTGTGTCTATGCATTGTTGCATTTGAAGAAGGAACCATTCCCAACTGTTATTATTTTCCCCTTCAACTACAGCCCAACATAAAGGATACATTTGGTTATTCCCATCCCTCCCAACTGCGACTAGCAGCATTCCACCCAAAAAAGTCTTCAAAAAGCATCCATCAAGACATAGCACCGGTCTACAACCCCTTTGAAATCCACTTTTCAATCCACCAAAGCAAACAAATAGCCTTTGAAACACTGCAGGGTTTCTGCCCACATTTAAAGTTAAAAACTCAAAATTGGACTCAGGATTGGTCTGCCTACATGCTTCAATGTAACAACTTAGTTTACCATAGTGTTCTTTCATGCTACCATGCAACAATTTGTGTGCCAAGTACTTGATTTTATAAGCAACGCACTTCTTTATTATAATTAAGTACTTCTTCCTAACAGCATCAACTATTTCCTTGGCAGGCCAATGTGGTCTAATTTTGAACACCTCCAAGAAATCTTTGGCAAGCCAACTTGATTTAAGTTGCCTATTTGCCATCATGTCCCTAGTGCATAAATGTGTATTATTCACTGCCTTGAGTAAAAATGTACCCCTTCTTGACTCCCAAGATGCAAACAATTTAAATGGGCAACCATCAACACATCCAACACCTAACCTCTGATTCTTTTTCACATCGCTTTTGCAAAAAGTCAAATTTTTTCCTTGAGCTAGAGCATACCTCACAACTGCATCTCGAAATGCTTCTCTATTTGAAAACCTCATGCCAACCACCCATGTTAGCTTTGTGAAATCAGTGTACTTATTGATTACTGGAAGTGAAGACTTTGTTCTTATCCCTTCATTTTCTTCATCCTCATCACTCTCTCTAGGGGTCATTACATCTCCATCACTCTCATCGTACTCACTTAAGTGATCATCCTCTCCAGTAGACCTGTGCATAGTAGCTTTATTCCATACATTACTTCTACGGCCTCTAATAATTTCTTCTTGGACTTTTTGGGCTTTCTTATTTCTCTTTATTTCAAAAGCAGTCGCTGATTTTTTAGCATTAACGAACTCATCATCGCTGGTATCACTGTCTTCACCAATAAGGATATCCATATCTTTTGCCTCACAATCATCATCATCAGAACAAACTCCATATATATCATCACTTTCATCCACAGGATTACTACCAATATCTTTCTCATAGTTAAGTAGACGATTGGGTGGGAAATTTGGCATTTGACTTTTGTTTGAAAGGTTTTGTGTCCCAACTTCACTTTCATGGTGGACCACATACAAGCACACAGAACCCATCTCCCTCATTATTTTGGAAATAGCCAACACTTCATTATCTCCTGTTACAAGTGTCAAACCGTCGACTAGACTCATCTTTGGTTTCAAGTAGTATAATTTCACAACAATTTGGTACTGACCAGACTCTTTTGCTAGGTTTAGCAGATGAAAGAAGTCAATTAAATCAGGATCTATGGTGTAATCTTGACACTTCCCTCCAAGATATTGTAAAAAATTGTTGGAGCTGGGAGTCTTAACAAAGACCCCACCATGGTATAATTTTAAAACCCCCGTCTCCATGTATGTCTACTTCACGCTAACACAAAAACAACAGAAAACTTCAACAAGCACATAATAGCCAAAAGACATACACAAAAGTTACCAGGAACTTATTGTTGCTGCATAACGACCAAAGGTGAGACACGATCTTCAAATATCATAGACATGGTAGAGTAGGAATAAATTTGGGTTTTTCAATTAGGGGCGAAGGAACGACGGATAGAAGGAGAGAGAACCCTAGGAAGAAGATGAGCAGACTCCTGATTACCAAATGCGATATTTTTAAGAGTGCTGAGGTATATTTTATTAAATAAAAAACAATTAAGATGTGCCAACTAAGATTAATTAATTACATGTAGGCGTGAGAAAGGATGATTAGGCAAAATGGGAGTAACGATGTGAAGTTATAATTTAATCGGGAGCACCAGTGTCTTTAATTAATTTTGGGAGTATCATTGTAAAATTTTATATTTCTGGGAGTATTTGTATAAACTTTTCCTATTAGTTAAATATAAATAAGATAGCACAACAAAAAATATTTTAGAATAGTTTTTAAAAGAAAAATATAATGGAATTATTTTGTTATTCAGTTTTAAATCTAAAAAAAACTACCCTGGTCTAATTGGTCTTCACCAGACATCTGCCACTCTCAAACTGAGGGTGCAATGTATTGAACATAAATCCATTAGATTTATAATATAAAGTGTATAAATTGAACATGTGATAAAGTGTGACATCTCCTTGGGCACACACAAATGCAGGAAACCAGAAGAACTCTATTTACATGCACATAAGAGGTCTGGACCCTAATAATTGTTCAGGGTGACCTCTCTTTTTTCTTCTTTTTTTTTATGACATATAAGAACAACATAATGTACAGACATGATGGTATTGTCACACAAGAATATGTTCCATATTCTATGGTCCCTGTTTGGGGAGAATAAGATTATTGTTTAGCAGAGAGGCTAAGGATCTACTGGTCCCGCAACTGCATCGTCGCTTGAGTCGTATTCATTGTCACTCGGCTCCTCTTCGTCATCGGACATCTCGTCGTCGTCGTCATCCGGTGCATCCCCAATGTCTTCTGGTTTGGCATATTTCTCGCAGTATTCTGTTGGATCATCATAGCATGTGTGTATGTCCGTGTTAGAGTATATAAAAATATTTCTGGGCCCACAACTGCAAACTTAAACTTTTGGTTGAGTGACATCAGAGCTTTGTTGACCTAGTGGTCACGAGCTTGAACATCACCACCACTTAATTTTCAAAGAAAAAAAAAATTAATGTTCACGTTCAAGGATCAAGCAAAATAAATCACGAATGCATGTGAGAGGCCTATTAGAATACAAAATCTTTTCAAAGCAGACAATCAAAAATCAAATCTTGAGCTTTTGGTTGAGTTGGTTGTCTGACAATCAAACATAACGCAAAAGCTCCCCACAATGGAGTGTGTTGGGAAAAGATATTGCTAAGAATCCCACATTGAAAGATTAACACTATGTTTGGTTCAAGAAATTTGAAAGGAATGGAAAAGAAAATAATTTTCTTTCAGTTTCATCATCAAAAAGAGAGGAACTTGGTTTTCCCTCATCTTAATACATTTTGCTTTCTCGTTTTTTTTCCTTTCACTTTTCTTTTCTTTTTTCCTCTCTAACCAAACGAGAAAAATGTTTTCCTTCTCATTTTCTTTTCATTTCCCTCTCAAATTCCTTGAACCAAACATGGTGTAAAGAGAGATGCATGACTTTAGAAGGTCTACTACTACACACACCATACCCATAACCTATTTCTTGTGGTGTAATTTTGTTGGATTTGTTTGGGACGGGTGAAGCATTTTCCCAAACATATAAATGTATGGGTTACTCCTCGTAACTGGTTAAGCTTTTGGGATGGAATCACAAGATTTATATTGTTAATCGCTGCTATGTTATCACGAGTTTTATATTGTTCTATTCGTGTCATAAACCATAATCTAAAGCTAGCAATACCTTTAACTTTCTGTTCATATGCAGGACGATCGCGCATCATCAGGGCAGCTGCCTCCCCATTTAGGGGGTCTGCTGGGTTAGGATACAGCAGAAGTTGTGGGAGAAACACTTCAAAGACATTTACCAGATCTGTGGGACACACAAATAACTCGTCAGTAAATTAGAATTCTTTTTGGACACCGGATCATTTTATGGTGTTTGGTTGAAAGTTTGATAAAAGAACCAAACACCAGAAAAATGACCAAAACCAAACACCAAAAGATTAGAAAATGACTTCTCGGGAGTCATTTTCTATCCTCCCAAACGGACCCTTAAAACGCATTTCGATACATTACAGATAAGGTCTTGACTCTCAATGATGAGAGGGCGACCGTAATCCTCTTACCAAACATGGGGCTCCAAGTCTGATTGATGACATCCAAACAAACTGATCCCGAGCTGAAAACCGGCAATCCATGAGGTTTTAATCACTTTCTTGAAAAGAAAAAAAAAAGAGAAATGAAATGAAACTAAAAGGGTATAAAGCTTTCTGTCACCTACATCTCATCAACATTTGGGTGGTAGATTTTATTGACAAAGCCAATGGATGGAGATTTATAAGGATAAGAGACCGGAAGTTCCACCCTCACTTTCCAAACGCCGCCTTCGTAAGGACCTGCCACACAGTTTATATGAAAATTAGCAAAATTAAGTCTGTTTGGTTGATTGAGACCCTCTGCCCGGCTTTAAAGCCACCCATGCCCGGCCATCCTCAACGGGTTGATGGCCTTGAGGCTTGTGCTGTCACCGGGCCCACAAAAACACATCGGAGCTTGTGTGCGAGGCAAGGTGTCTGGATTATTAGACCACACTAACCAACAACAAACCCAATACAATCTCAGACAAGGCAAGGTATGGATTAGACCACACAACTTAAATGAATAACTTGATAAAAGGTAAACACAAAATGTAGTGCATAAAGTACTTTTGGCTAAAGTTTATGAATTGGAAAAACATGATTTGAACTTTATTTTCATATGCTAATATCATTACTTTATGGAAAAACCCACACCATTAAACTCACAATTTTACATCATTACTGTGAGATTCAATAAATCACATCTCTACTACAAGAATATTGATTGGTTTAACGAATATCGAAGTAATGATGTAAAATCACAAATTTCTATGTGTAATAGTGTGAGTTTTTCCTTACTTTATTTAGAAATTATGGTTTAATAATTTAAAAAAAAATCAATAATTCAATCTTTGCCTCAACTGAATCATTTAAGAGCTATCCCAAATCTACCCTTACCAGATGGAATCTAAACTACACCCCATATGAAACATGTGATCCAAAATTCACAACTATCACCAATCTTCAATAGTTTCAATCACATAAAAGAGATCATCAAGAAATACCCAAACATCTCTAAGATTTTAATTAAGTTATAATCCAATTTTTTCAAAAGAAGGAAATAAAAAAGATTGGAGCTTTAGATAGGGATGGAGTATATTTACTCTCTTTAGGTCCATGGAAATGAACAAAGAACTCCTGCATCCCATCATTTATCATCTCCACCTTGTAGTCACTCATCATCCTAATCCATGGAAAGTATTGAAGCAAAAAAACAGAGGTAAAATTAAATGATTTAAGTCCTGAACTGACTATTTCTTAAAAGAAAAAACGGAAGCAGAATAAATCGAAGAGATTGATGAGAGAAATTAACAGTTTCATCAAGTCCATTTCTCTGCGCTTGCTCGGGGAAGACATGATTCTTCTGTTACTTTTGAAAGAAAGGGGAAGTGATGGGAAGAGGAAGATGATGAAGAAGAAGAAGAAGAAGAATGAGAAGAAGAAAGGGGTTGCTTGTACAAGTTTCAGGAGAAAATGGGAAGAAAAAAAAAAGGAGAGGATTGAGGAATTGGAGATGCACAGATTGGAAGAGAGAAGACTGATATGAGAAGGCAACGATTTGTGAATTGGCCCCTTTTAATTACACTATTTGTAATTGTGGAGTGAGTAAATTTTATACTACTAATTGATTCTTTACTATAGATATTTTTCATATTTAGTTTTTTAGTACAAAATATTATATTCAGACCCTTTTATGAGTACTTTACATGAATAATTTTTCTTTGACCTTCTATCATGATAGATTGATTGAGGACTAAAGTGTAATTTTATATTGTCCCTTTGTCCAGTGACGTATTTTAATTTTGGCTTGACGGAAAATACAATAATAGTGACTACGGCTACGGACTAAAATTTCAAGCAAATACGACATTTGTAAACTATGATTGCAATAGACGATAACTTGTTTTGATAAACAACGCATTAGCAGCGATCTTTGATATTTGTTATGACAAGAAAGATATACGAAGTATGACTATTGTGAAATTATATTTTTAGCTTTTTATTTAACACCAATATGATAAAAAAATTAAAATTGATGATAAGAACATGTTTCTTGCGTTCCAAATTAGATTACAATTTTTTCTCCCCTCTCGATAATTTGTGTTTATTTGTGTTTTTCATTGAGTATTTGATAAAATAAAATATTCATGTGATATCTCGTTCTGTAGAACTTTTGACGTAGTTTTGAAATATGTAATTTTTATTTTATATTGATGTATCAATTTATAAATAAAACTATTTCAAAAGATAAGATATTTTACCTCATACTACTTCCGTCCCAGTGTATTTTTGTCCAATTTGACTTTTTCGAGTCAAACTTGACAAATTTTGAACTCCAATTGCTTTCAATTTATATTGATATTAGCATAATGAAATACAATTTTGAAATACGATAAATCCAATAAAATCATTTTTATGTTAAAATACATTACGATTTTTATTTAATTGAAGCTCAAAGTTTGTCCAGTTTGACTTGAAAAAGTCAAACTATACAAATACACTGGGACGTAGGAAATATTTCTTAATTTGTAATCAAATTAAGAATGAAAAGAGTAACTAACTTTAGGAAAATGCTAGGGTACACCTTTGGTGTACTCCATTTGTCCCCCACCCCCTCCATAACCATTCAAATAAGCAAGAAAATTAAAAAAAATAAGTAAATAAAAATTAAATACTCCGAGAAAATGCTAGGGGTACACCTTTGGAGTACAAATGAATGGTTATAGAGGGGTGAGGAACAAATAGGGTACATTTTCTCCCCTAGCTTTAACCCAAACTAAAATATGATTCCACCCAGACAATTTCCTCAAGGGACTTGCCTGATTTTCTATGGGCTTGCACTGTTTTATGTTGGTCCACCAAACTTTTCCTCTAGAAATATCTTAATTAGTATTAACGTTTTACGAAATTTTAAGGGTACAAATTAAATTTGAAAATGCTATAACTAAAATTAAAAAAACACTCATAATCCTAACTAACACCAACATTAGGTCAAATATTTTAACTTAAATAGCTTCAATTGTTATAAATAACCCATATAAAAAAATCTCATTAAGTAGTTGAATTGTTATTAGTATGTGCACATGAACCTTTTCACTAAGAAGCTATAATATTTCAACAAAGGTTTCATTATTGAAAACAAAGAAGAAAGAACAAATCATATTTTAAAATGTCTCATGCTACTTTTTCAGTCTCACACATAAAACACTGAAGAACCTCTCAAGAGCAGATTAATTACTAGGCAAAAGCTCCAAATGGTGAAACTTGATTGATTGCATGCTCTCTATATTGTCATTATGTTTATGGTTTTGCAATTTCAACCTCAACTTTGATAATTGAGCAAAACTTTTATGTTGAATTTATGTATTCTATTGTGGATTGTGGTGTTGCATTTATGTACTTTTTCGTTTTTAGAATGGTGAAATACCATAATTGAGTAATTGATAGCAAAATGTAGAATATTGTTGCGCAAAAAAATAATCTTGACATGGGTATGTTAGTCGGTGTGTTCATGCCTTAAATGGGTGGAGAATAAGGCGTTTGAAAATTTTTTAGAGTTTGGTAAAACTGGCGTTGACAAATGCGGGAGCAATAAGTAAATCTTTATATCCACTGAATAAGAGTATATGCACGATAAAAATGCATGCATTTTGGCAATGTGTAGGCATTTCTGTATTTAAAATTGTTAAGAGGTAGCACTTTAAGGGCACTGGAAATACCCATGAAGCCCCGAGGCTTCAAACCGGAGCTTCAAACCTTCTCTCTCTGCCACGTCAGTTTTAACTTACCTCACAGTTTCAGTGGAAATGAGTTTGAAGCCCCAGGGCTTCAAACTGGGGCTTCAAACCTTCAATTTTTACATTTTAAATACACATCTTCTAAAATTAAATTAATAAACTTTAATTATTTAATTATTTAAAAGAATTGAAACGATAATAGTTCGTTTAAAAAATACATTCATTATAAAAAATTAAATTCATTGTGTAGTTTGTATGGTGGAAAAATATATCTTTTTTCATATTACGAAAATGAAGATGTAATTGATCGCTTTCAAAAAACGAAAACTCGTAGAGAACAATTATAAAATGTAATTTTGTTTCATCTTAATTACATATTTTTTAAATTTAAATTTATGCTGACCAAATGTGCCTCCGGTGAAAAAAATCCTGGATCAGCCACTAGCACTGTGACCTCGTATATTGGCAATCCATAATATTTTCTTTTTATTATACATTGATATTATTGATACTAGAACTCTTATTTTAAAAATAAAAACACAAAAATCTTATCTTTGTGCTTTCCCATTGAACAATTTAAAGGGTAAATACATTATTCATTTATACTATCTCCTTAAAAAAATTTAAAATCATTATTAATAAGAAAAATCAATTTAAAAGAAAAACTAGACCATCATCAAGGCAGATAAAGGCTATCAGGCCGTATGTTATGGTGGCAAGAGGAGGGCTTGACCTCCTTCATGCCTGATACACGCCCATTCCGTGAGGAGGGCCGAGGGCGTGACCCCTTCCCGTGTGATGGCCAACCCGCCGTTGCCCCAACATTCTTTTTTTTTAATTTCAACCAATCAAAATTTAATATATGCACATTCACACTTCATCACATTCCTTCACACTCATTATAATACATACTCTCTCCGTTCCCATTTTAATTACCATTTTATTTTTTTACTCTGCTCTCGATAGCTTTTGTTTATTTGATAAAATAAAATATTCTTGTCACCTCTTGTTTAGTAGAATTTTGGACGTAGTGTTTTAATATGTAATTTTTATTTTTTATTGATGTACTAATTTGTAAATAAAATGATTTCAAAAATTGTGAGATTTTACATCGTAATTCCCATTTTGTAATCAAAATAGGGACGAAAAGGAATTTTTCATCACTCCACATCATACATCTTTACATCCCGTCAAACCACACGTAACACACTAGCACATGGCTTCATATCTTGTTGTAATACTTACTGGTTTATCGCCTTTGTACCACATCGTATTTGTCACCCAAATGTTACTTTTTTAAAACTACTGATTTCACCGATTGGGATGAAGATTCAGTATTATGGCTAGATTAATTAACTGCCTAATACTTCAATAGCCATGCTTGTCATCCAAATTTGAATCAAATTTGTCTTGACTAAGATAAGCTGTTGAAGTATTAGGCAGCTATATATACTCCATATTATCTTAATTTTGGATCTTTTTTGTTTTTCTTACATTCCAAAAAAATAGCGATTTAAGTTTCAAATTTTCTATATGTAGGATTAATGTATTCCTCCCCATTACAACACTTTCGTTGTAGATAACAAAATCTGATTGAATTTATTTTTCATTTCAATTTATTTAGGAAATATTTTAAAATTTTAAAATAAATTTACATATTTAAGAACCACACCAAACTGTCATAAAATAAGAGATGACATAAATATATTACTTAAACCAACGATTAACAAAAATAGAGAAAAATTAGCTCATTTTGGGAAGGAGAGAGAGAGTGTATATTTCAAGTATTAACGGTAAAAAAATACTTTTGTCCTTCACATATAACTTTTCTCTTTCTAATATTCGTTTGTCTAAAATTAGGCTCCAATTTTGAATATCATCCATAAAAAATTATGATGAATTCTCTAAGATATATTGCATTAAGATATGACATGGATATTGTTCACATGATTGGCTGATAACAATTTGAAGGGCTTTTTAAAATTTTTGAAATTGTTTAAGGGTGTCTTTTTATTCCTCAACAACAAAACAAAATTTGGCATTTCATAGTACATAATTTTTGGCATTATATATTAGCATTATTTGGCATCATATGTCCTATTTTGGTATTTAAAAAAATTTTAAGATATTATTTTGATTTGTGCACTATGTTTTAGTCTTGGTTCAAAAAAAAATTATCAAGAGAGATTTGCAGAGGAATGATGGTTAAAAATTTAAGATCTAATTGCTACCTCCTATTTTTCCATGCATGTATTCATTGCTAAACCTGTTTTTATTGTATGTGTATCATATATTCAAGAGAGATTTGCAAAGGAATGGTGGTTACAGCAATTTACAGCAATACCCCTTCTCTTGGCACACAGAACCATTGCCCTATCTGCCATCTCTTTGCTGCTCCGCGGACGGGAACGAATTTTGCCGAGCTAGCTCATAGTTGCCATGATCACCACGGGGTTCGTTCTCGCAATTTGGAGCCGAAACATCTGCTTTGGAACAGAGGAAAAAGAAAGAAGCTGTGTATATGGAGACATGCCACAAACTTCATTCACTTTCTTTCTTTATTTTCGTTAGCAAATTGATAAAATAAAATATTGTTGTCACTACTAGTTTTGTAGATTCTTTTGATGTAATATTTTGATATGTAATTTTTATTTTTTAATTCTATACCATTTGTCATATAAAATGATTTGAAAATAACTTCAGTCAAACATCGTAAACCGAAACATGATTCTTCTGTTACTTTTGAAAGAAAGGGGAAGTGATGGAAAGAGGAAGAAGAAGAAGAAGAATGAGAAGAAGAAGAAAGGGGTTGCTTGTACAAGTTTCAGGAGAAAATGGGATTAAAAAAAAGGAGAGGATTGAG